TAATAATTTATTCTTATCACTTATAATCCTTCTTTAAGATTTCTTCATTTATTTTTTCTATGCTTCACTAATCTATAGATCATTTGTTAGATCCAACAACCATTAAGGTTATCCATCTTATTATTATTAATCTTATTAATCAGCAAACAAGTCTTTATTTTCACTTGCAGCCCATAACATATATCGAACATGTACAGGAAAACAGATTTCTAATATTTAATTAAAAAAGTAATTAGATGCACTCACTCTTTCTTTTCCACCACCACCAACTCTAAATCTCATTGAATCTAACAATAAATTTAATTCATTATCATCTGCTTTATTTTAAATTGATTTCTCTAATTTCTCATATAATTATTACCTTCCTAAAAAGAATCCTTATAACTATTAAAATATACTAATAAATAATTAATACTTATTAATTCTAACTCATCTTATTTAAGTAACCTGCACTTGTCTTATTCAATAATTTCTATTTCTCAAGTTCATCATTCAATTATTTTACTCTATTTTCTAATAATTCAATATAAATCTTCTTTCTCTTCCTTGAATTTCTAGCACATTCTCTATTCCTTAACAATTTTGCCTAAGTACTATCTTCAATGTCCTAATAAGAAACACTATTATTTTTATCATGTCTATCCTCCTCAGATGTTCTAAATTTTGCCTATTGTTGTTATAGTAATTTCTAACTATCCTACTGAACTAAATTGGTAATCTTATTAATGTAAGTATTCTTTAAGTTATTCTTATACTAAAATGGATCCTTTTGTTTTATTTGTTCAGATTACTAATTACATTGCTTTTTAAATTCATTACATTGTTTTTTTGAGTTTTTCTTTTTTTTTATTTTTGTTTCTTTGCATCTGCTATAGGCTCTTCTTATTTCATATCCATTTGATCATATTAATTATCCAATAATGAAAAATTTTATTATAATCCAATAAAATTTTAGTTACTATTTGTTCTTGGAAATGTATGACTAATAACATATAATCAAACAATTACGGTGGATCCATCAAATAATTGACCATGAAATCATTGTCAACTAAATCAAACAAAGAATTGACGACCTTTTCATTATTTTAATTATACATTGATTATATTTATAATAATTATTAAAACACACTTATTTTTACATAATTAACCTAATTATTATATTAATACATGTGTTTGTAAAATAAGAATCTAATAAATTAAGAGATTAAATAACTGATTTAAAATTATTATTTATATTTATAGAAATTATTTTTTATATAGCTAACAAAAGTTAATATAGATATCTAAGACAAATATAGAAATTCCATTTATATCTAAATAATAAAACTAAAATTTCTTAATAAGAAGGATAAATTTCTAGAATTCTATTAATTAATATCAATTAAATAAGCCATTTAATTAATAATGATTAATAAAGATTGAATTAAGTATATTACATTTACTTAAATTGTTCCATAAAATGAAAATTTGTATTAATATCAAATATTATATTAGATTATCTTAAATATTAATGAAATCTTAATCTACTTTCAAATTATATTATCCCCTTTGTTCATAGATTGATTATGAATAAACATAAAATTCAATATTTAATTTAAATTGATATTGATATGAATTTGATGGAATATACAAATTACTTCGTTGATGACGAAATATACAAATTACTTAATTGAAAATTAAAATAATATATTACGAAGACAATATGCAAAAGAAAAAGTTGATATTTTCTTAATGTTATTGATTAAAAATCAGTTTATTTTAAATGAAGATCAAAAATAATTCATTGGTGAACTTCAATATAAATAGAAAATGAAAATTATGAAAACAACATTGAAGGTAGAATAATAGTTCAAAAATTGCTTTTCATTTACTTTCAAGGCTATTTAAAATAAAAATCTATAAGGAAATAAGAAGTGTGAAGATATATTTCAATATAACACAAAATAAATTAAATAATCAATCAAAATCAGTTTCATCCATATTTTTGAAATCCTATTTAGAATCATATGAATTTGTAGTTCAAAGGGAGTTATATTGTAGATCAATACTATAATGATTAGTTATGTATTCGGAATTGAATAGTTATGTATTATTTAATTATTTAGATTATTTTATAGTTTTTTGGATTTTTTAATACTAACTCCAATAACCAGTCTATTTTTGAGTTGATTCCTATAAATATGAATTATGTCTTATTTTTTAGTTTTAGTGAAATATTATATTTACATTAGATTGGAATTATTTGATTCTTTATAGAACAATCATGTTATATTCCTGTATGTGTTGATTCATATGTTACATATTATAGATCTATACTGAGCAATTAATTAATCTATAAAGTTTTAATTTAGTTGAAGTAGTTGTCTGGCATTTTATATTTAAAAACATCAATTATTCAATTTTTAAATAATTCTTTTGAATTTAAATCGAAAAATTTCAATAAACAAGAAGTATCGATAAGTTTGAAATAATTGGTTAATAAATTTTAGATTTCTAAATAATAATAAATCTAATTGATTATTCTTATTATAATATATTAAAAATCATTATGAAGAGTAAGATGGAGTTCATCTAATTTATATTTTATTTGATCATTAATTTAAATATCTTAAAAGATTAAATATTTTAATTTATGAGTGCTGATTCGGAGGAACAGAATAGGTAAATTAACATGCAAATGATAATGAAGGGATGTTTCAAATGACCCATAACCAAAACCTGACAATAAGAAAGTACAGGATTTTACAGAGGATTGGGGGTATTAAGGGAACCCATCACCACGATTTACACCTATGCCTTATCCATAATTATTTCCTCCCATGTGTCCTCCTGCATTTGAATTAGAGAAATAAGGTATAAACATACCATTCTATGCAAGTCTATCATGACTATGATCCACAGAAATATCCACAAATGAACAGTGATAGGAAAGGGCAAAGTAGATATCCTTATCCAAAGCATTCTTTAGGTGAAGTTCCACAAATGGATCACATTGACGATGATCCACATCGTATTCCTGTGCCTTATCCATTCAGTTATTATCCACCTATGAAATACCCGCCACAACCAATGTTTATGAAATATCCACCACCCCCACATCAAGGTTAGCCATATATGGTTCCACCCAGTCCATGGTATCATCCAAGACCATAATAATAATTAATGCCACCATTTTGTTATTATCCCTAATCTCAGTATGATGGACTATAATGTTAAAACACTGTTTCTAAAGAATTGCAAACTAAAGTGTTACAATTAGTTTAATATCAAAAAGTGTCCGATTTCTAATGTAATTGCAAAAAAAGCAAATGCCTCAAACTCTATTGTGAATGCTTTGCTAATAATTGGGTATTAGAATTAATAATATTTATAACAAAAGGTTTGTTCACAAAGTTGTAATTGTTAAGATTGCAAAAATAGAATTGATAATCCATAAGAAAGATCAAAAGCTATAGAGGAAGCATTATTAAGAAATCCAGATGCATTTGCATAATGTTTTCAATAAAAGGGTTAAACCTAATTCTCTGTTTAATAATAAGGTAATTTTATTATTTATTGTTAAGATAAACCACTTAAAGAACCAACTAAAGATAATTCAAATATCACAAGAAAAGGTTGTAATTGTAAAAAATCTGGATGTAAAAAGAAATATTGTGAATGCTATAGTCAAAATTTAAAATGTAGTGATTTATGCAAATGTGAATAATGTCTTAATAGAACTGATGCTGAGATCTAAGCTTAATAAGATATTGCTTAAGTCTTGAATTCTTAAGATTAAGTTAATGTAGATATTAAAGTAAATCAAAAATCAAAAAAAATCAAAAAAATAGGAAATGGAAATGAAGACAAAAGCGATTCATAAAAACCAATGGTCTAATTGAAAATAAATCTTAATAATAATAGTAGTCGAAAAAAGCAGGATAAAAAATGAATAATAACCATTTAATTTAATTTATCTATCTAATCATATAATAATAATTAATTGTATCTAATCAAAAATAATGAATTTTTGATCTACCACTTAGAATAATAAATCATTATCTAGAATTTATTAATGTAATGACATACATCTAATTAAGAATAAATATATGAACTTACTAAATTATTCTTATTAATAGTGTTTTCATCATTATAAAGGATTTAAAAGAGCATTTTACAGTATTGCTAGTTAAAAATTTAAATATTAATTTTGTTAAATATTTTTAAATGGTTATCTTATAAATGATTGAAGATAGTTACATTTTCTAAATCAATAAAAATCAAGGATAGTAGCTTGGATGTTAATATGATACTTTAACTTAAATCAACTATTTAGCACCAATGAATTATTCAATAGATCTCATTACTCTAACATATAATATCTAATTAAAATTATCTAAATTATTTAAAATTATATCTATATACCATATATTCAGAATTAAATGATATTAATAAAAATGTTTTTATTTAAATAAAATCTTAAAATATTTAATCAAACTTAATCCGATTTCATGAATAAGTCTTTATATTATTAATCTATTGCTATCACTCTATAAAGTAAATCCAATATTCTTATAATTTTCTTCATATACACTAAAAACGTTTATATTTTAGATTTTTGTATACTGTATTACATATATTACTCTAGTTATAATTGAATCAATCTAAAGATAATTCTAAACGATTGACAAGGCCTTTCCCATTCCCCACTTGCAGATTCATATCTTATATGAATTATTAGTCTTATATTTTCATCAAATAATTATCTCTCTTTATTTAAATTCAATTCTTAATTGATTTATCAATTTAATGAAACATCTATACTAAAATAGCGTTTGATATTCAATTCTCTTTAATTATAGGGAATATCAATTTTAGTGTATTTAAGTTCCTAAATTTCTTATTCTATTCTTTTTATGGTTGAGATGGCTGGGTTAATAGTATTTAAAAATTATTAGATTGTTAAATTGAATGTTAGAATTATTATTTCGAACTATGTTTCCTATTAAAAAATTAATTTTATGGAAATATTTGATCTTTTTGGAGAGGATATTATAACAGAACATTAAAATGATAAGGTGAAATAATTGAGATCAGAAAAATAATAAATAAAGAATGAACTTCATAGATAGAAAGTAGTTTAGAAGAAGAAAGAGAAAAAAAAGAAAATAAAGCAATAAAAATATGAGATCATTTAAACTTTAGAAAGTCAAGAATAAAAGAATGATTTTGTTCATTAATTTAAAGGAGTGAGAAATCAAAAGAAAGAGAATGGAATAAAATCACTTTAAAGTCCATTTAGGATTATTATTGATTGTGGTTTTGAAGATAATATGTCAGATAAAGAGTAAAGATCACTTGCTAGATAATTATCTGAACTTTATATGGAAAATAGAAAATCAGATATCCCTCTTAAAATCTATATTACAAACATATACCCAATTTTACATAAATATTTAGAGTAATATCATTATAAATAATGGTAATTACTATCAGATGAGAAACTATTCATAGACATAGAAGAATTTTAATAAGCAAATATTGTTTATTTAAGTCCTGATGGTGAAGAGGAATTATAAGAGATAAAGGAAGATGAAGTCTATGTGATAGGAGGATTAGTTGATAGGTACTTTAAAATTTAAAATTATTATAGAGTAATTATAAAAAATGCTACTTTAAATAGAAGTAGATAATTAGGAGNTTTATATTATTAATCTATTGCTATCACTCTATAAAGTAAATCCAATATTCTTATAATTTTCTTCATATACACTAAAAACGTTTATATTTTAGATTTTTGTATACTGTATTACATATATTACTCTAGTTATAATTGAATCAATCTAAAGATAATTCTAAACGATTGACAAGGCCTTTCCCATTCCCCACTTGCAGATTCATATCTTATATGAATTATTAGTCTTATATTTTCATCAAATAATTATCTCTCTTTATTTAAATTCAATTCTTAATTGATTTATCAATTTAATGAAACATCTATACTAAAATAGCGTTTGATATTCAATTCTCTTTAATTATAGGGAATATCAATTTTAGTGTATTTAAGTTCCTAAATTTCTTATTCTATTCTTTTTATGGTTGAGATGGCTGGGTTAATAGTATTTAAAAATTATTAGATTGTTAAATTGAATGTTAGAATTATTATTTCGAACTATGTTTCCTATTAAAAAATTAATTTTATGGAAATATTTGATCTTTTTGGAGAGGATATTATAACAGAACATTAAAATGATAAGGTGAAATAATTGAGATCAGAAAAATAATAAATAAAGAATGAACTTCATAGATAGAAAGTAGTTTAGAAGAAGAAAGAGAAAAAAAAGAAAATAAAGCAATAAAAATATGAGATCATTTAAACTTTAGAAAGTCAAGAATAAAAGAATGATTTTGTTCATTAATTTAAAGGAGTGAGAAATCAAAAGAAAGAGAATGGAATAAAATCACTTTAAAGTCCATTTAGGATTATTATTGATTGTGGTTTTGAAGATAATATGTCAGATAAAGAGTAAAGATCACTTGCTAGATAATTATCTGAACTTTATATGGAAAATAGAAAATCAGATATCCCTCTTAAAATCTATATTACAAACATATACCCAATTTTACATAAATATTTAGAGTAATATCATTATAAATAATGGTAATTACTATCAGATGAGAAACTATTCATAGACATAGAAGAATTTTAATAAGCAAATATTGTTTATTTAAGTCCTGATGGTGAAGAGGAATTATAAGAGATAAAGGAAGATGAAGTCTATGTGATAGGAGGATTAGTTGATAGGTACTTTAAAATTTAAAATTATTATAGAGTAATTATAAAAAATGCTACTTTAAATAGAAGTAGATAATTAGGAGTAAGAAGTGCAAAATTACCTATTGGATAATTTATAAAAAAGAATTATAAAAAATGCTTAAATGTTAGTACAGCTGCCTTGATGATATCAGGATGGTTAAAGTATAAAGATTGGAGTAAAGCTTTCGATAGTATTGTACCCCAAAAATTTAAAGAATAGGAACCTGATTAGTAGTAGTGAGATAATTAATTTAATTTTGATGAAACAATTTATCGTTTTTCTTTGTATTCTCTTCATTACACACTGTTAGAGATAATCCTTTGAATAAGCTCTTAGATAAAGATATTAAAGCAAAATGTTTGTTCATTAGTCCAATTTTATATAAAATTAGTAATAAACGAGACTATTATAATAAGATTAAGATGATTTAATCGATCACTAAGGAGAGTAATAACATGACTAAATTAAAAATGAAGAAGATAAATTAAGAAAGAAAACTAGAAAAATTGTTAAAAAAAGGAGAGTCATACTTAAACCTATTATTATCAAAGTGACAGAGTAACAAAAGAATTAAAAGAAGAGAAAGGTTCATAAAACAATTAAAAAATGCAAAACCATTATTAAGGATTGAAATTTTATATCAATAATAAAAATAATTCAAAATGTTTCAATATACACCTTAAGAAGAGACCTACTATAGATAACTCTGGGCTCCCTTTGATCCATAAGTATTTCAAATTTATTTGATTCTTAGGGTCTAGGCTTTGCAGAGGCCAAGGGTACTGTTTAATTTTTCAAAAAAAGTCGACTTCCAGTTGATACACTAAAGAGAATATGGATTGCAGGAGTAAAGAGTTAAGAAGGCAAACTTTATTATTCAGAATTTGCCACTGTTATGAGACTTATTGCATATTGTTAAAATGGATTTGAATTCAATGAATAATTATTGAACTAAAATAGTCCTGTTCCTCTACCTGTGATGGAAGGAATATAAATACCCTAATAATAATAATAACCTTAATAATAATTAATCTAATAATCATAATAATAACAGTTCAACAACTTTTAATAAGCTTAAAATTAGTTACCTTAATCAAATTACTTCTAAACATAGCCAGTTCCTAATAATGTTCAAATTTCACTCTAATCCTATTTGGAACCTAAGCTAGAATTTTCAAAAGTATTTAAATTTACATTATTTTAGTATGATTTACCTGATGATTAATATAATAAATATGAACTCTGTTTCACACAATAAGATAAAGCACATTAAGGATCTATATAAGGTGATTAAGCATTAGCATTCTTTTAAAAGTCATAACTTCCAGCTTCAACTTTGAATCAACTTTGGAGTTTAGTTGATATTGGACAAAAAGGTTTTTTATTTAAGAATGAATTTATTGTTGCTGTTCATTTAATAGCTCTTTGTCGAAAGGATACGCCTTTACCTTAAGTATTGCCTGAATCTTTACTTTAATTAATAAGAAGGGATTAATAATAAAATTAAGTTCGATCAACATCATAAACGATGCCACAAATAATTTCAGGTTTACCACCTTAACCATAAAGAGCAGGATCTTAGAATGAATTACAAGGTTCCAATCTTCAAACCAGTTACTAATAGAATAAAATTTAAAATTAAACCTAATAGATTTAATTTGCAAACAATGTAGATTAATAAAAATAAATAATTGAAGATAAGAAGAAGGATGTTGAATTTCTCAATCAAACCATATAAAAGCTTCAAAGTTTTTATGATTTCCTTAAGAAAGAATAAGATGAATTGCAAGCTTAAATAACTTCATTAAATGATTAATAAACATAGAAATAACATTAAATGAATATTTTATAGGATAGTATTTTACATCAATTATAAGTAAATTAAAACTTATAGAAATAATTGTATGAATTGAAATAAACCAATTAAGTTTAAGAAAATTAAACTCCTACATAAACAACTTAATTTTAGACTATACATGTATTAGTTAATTAATATAACACTTTTAGATTGAAGATGATTATGATTATTCAAATTATAGAGCAAAGAAAGATAAGGTAGTTTCTGGAGGTAACTAAAACACTGAAAACTTTCCTTGGCATTGACATAATATTAAAATTAATTTATTTTAACGAATAAAAATGTTAACTGCATCACCTCACATGAAATCAGATAAACCATATTAATAAAGTCCTTAATATAAGAAACCTCATCCTTACAATCCTGAGGCCAGTATATCCCTTAAAAACTCAATTAATTTGAAAGGTATTTGGTAACAACTATAATCAAGATTTTTAATTTAACGAAGAATTAGAATACTATAAGAATCGATCAGCTGATCTTGAATAATATGCAAGACAATTAAAAAATGAATTAGATACTACTATAATTAGAATGAGTAAATAGGGAGCTTTGGATGAGAAGGCTGAGTTAATGATACATTAGAATTAAATACTTAGTTAAGACATAGATAAATTATAAAAGAATTTTGCCTAAAAGAAGACTGAATGTGAATTATGGAAATCTAAATATGAATAATAACTCAATAGTGCTGTTTAATGTATATAGATTTTTTAAGTATTTATAGTAAAGGCTCAATATGAATTGGATTTACGTAAATTAAGTAATGAATTAAAGATGTTAGAGGAAAGAAATTCCATACTTGAGAAAGAGAGATCACATGAAGTTGAAGCTACAAAAACCAACTTTTCAAGTAATTTTATTTTTTATTTTTACAGTTTAAAATGAATAATAAAGACATAGTTATCTAACTTAAATAGATGTTCTTGAAAATCAATTGAGAAAACTAAGAGAATATGCTGATATAAGGGATAAGGAAATCTATGAATTAGAAACTAAATTAACTAAGGTTTTGTAAGATAGAGAATATGTTGAGACTAAATTACTTAAAGATAATGATTTATATAGAATAAAATTATAGGAATAAGAGAGAGATAATCAAATAGAAATGAATAATCTTAGATAGAAATTGGATATATTAAATTAAGGATAATTGGATAATATTAAAAATCAATATATGGCATAAGCTGAAATTTTAGATGATGAAATTGAAAAATTGAAAGGTCTTTTAGGAATTAAAAATGAAGAAATTAAAACACTTATAGATTAGAATGAAAGATTGAGAGCTAATTATGAAAAAGAAATAGAAACTATTACTTTATAATTCCATGTTTTAAAGGAAAAGATGTTTGAAAATGAATAAAGATTTTAAGAGGAATCACAATAAATGGAAAATAATTTAAGAAGTTAACATGAGATAGGTGTAGATACCTTATAATAACATCATTAAAATTCTAGTTAAATACTTGAAAATCAAATTGTCCATTTAAAAGGTTAAGTTTTAGAATAAACTAAATAATTAGAAGAATTGTAAAAAATAAGATAATAATTACTATAAGCTAATTTATAGGATCAAGAAAATGCATAAAATATTATTAATAATTTAAAGAAAGAAGTATATATTATTAATAATTCCTTAGATTTTAGAATAATAAAATAGATATCAAGATTAAATTTAAAAAAATTATCAAGATTATGATCTATAAAAGAAAGAATTATTGAATTATAATCAATAACAATTAGAATTTAATTAATAGTTATAACAATAGATTTAAAATTTAAATTAAATAATAGAATTAAAAGAATAATAATATGAGACAACACTTGTATAATTCAAGAATATGAATGATCAGTTAATTGTATTAAATTTTATTATTTTTCTTAGAATAAACTAAATGATTTATATAGAGATAATGAATCAATTAAAACTAAATTCAATGTTACAGTAACTGAATAAGAAGATTAATTAAATAAATAATTAAATTAAATTAAACAATAAGAACATAAAATATAATAATTATAATCTACATTTTAAAGAGAAAAATAAAATGCTGAAAGATAAATTACTAATTTATAGAATTAAAATAGATAAAAAGAATAATAATTGGCTGAATTAAAAGCATAATTAAAGGCTGCAGAAGAAAATTTAGATAAAATTGATAATGAATTATAAGAAACAAAAAATACCCTTTAAAGTTAAATTGAGGAATAAAAATATAATTATGAATAAGAAATAGAATAAATATAAGCTCAATAAAATGAAGATTTAATGAGTACTAAGAAATTATATGAAGAAAAAGAGACTTCATTAAATTAGGAACTTATTAAATTAAAAGGAACTTTATAGACATAATAAACACTAAATTCAGAATTAAACTAAAAGTATTTTTTATATTTATTATTTTCAGATTAGATGAATATGGCTAATAAATTTAAAATGCTGTGAACAATTCAGATGTTATTAAATAATACGAAATTTTATCAGAGATTAATTTAGTAAACAGATTAAGAAATTGAATATTTATTTATTAAACTTATTTAATATTATTAAAAGAATAATAATTCTATATATATATATATATTAATTAAAACATTATTACTGATTGAGTTTATGTTATTTATTACTAAAATAATAAATTAAAATAGAGTATTTCAAATTAAAAAAGTATTAGAGGGGAAATTAAATACTTTTAATAAAGAACCTGAATTTAAAATTAAATAAGATAAAAGCTATTAATTTATTAAGATATATATATATCAAAAAAAATTATTTTTTTAATACAAAATTTGTTATTGATATTAGAATAATTAATTTCAGTCCTATGATTACCTTCTTAAGTGATTCATTTTTTTAATAACACTTTATCTCCAATTTTTCATTTAAGTAACATCTCCAATTCTGGGTCCTTAAATATCTCTAGAATTTAAGAAGATAATCATACCTTTTTATAATTGTTGAATATTATTTAAGATAAGTTTTGCTGGATTTTGGCAATGGATGAAGTGGATATTAAAAATATGATTCAGATTGTTTGTCTAAAAACATACCCTTGGATGATAATGGATTTCTTAATTAAAGAATAAATGAGATACAATTTTGAGTAATTATTCTTGCAATTTTAAGGTTATTCTATTATTTAAGGCCATCCAAAAATTTAATTGTAATTCTTTTAAGGTTAGATTATTTATTCTGTAGATGTAGATAATCGTGGAGCTGTCATTCTATTCAATTTTGGATTAAATTCAAAATTAGTATCATTAGTCTAAAAATAAGAAATACTTAATACTTTGTAAGATATTAGAGTGGCAATTTGTTGTTTTGCTTTATCATATTTTAATTTATCTATTTTAACATTATAATTTTGAGGTGCATATCCTGTAAAGTCAGTTTTATATGAAGTTTAGGAAAATTGAAAATGTTAAGGAGACTTATAATTTTCATAAATGGAATTTTTATTAAGTTGAACTTTTTCATTAGTTTTCTATAAGAAATCATTTTCATATCGAGTTTTGCATTTAATAGGTTATTTAAATTTATTCATATTGAAATCTCCTTGCTTTTAGTCTTTGAAGTACAAACTCAATAAGTAATAAATATATTCTTTATTTTCACTAAATAGTTGTTCGACAGATGAACCTTTTAATATTTCTTATGGTATGATTTTTAACCATATTGGATCTGAAGGAGGAATGTCAGGTAAAGGTTCATCAAAATAACAAAGCGACATATTGGTTTAGCAACTAACTGAATTGGCATTTTGAGAACTTGGTTATTGAGTGTTCTGATGCTCTAAAGTTTAGAATCTTGTAGGTTTTTAATCAGATAGAATCTGTTTAGATGGTGAATATGAGGGGAGATCTTGAGCACTTAAAGTCGAGAGTGCTTATGATCTTTTATTAAGAGTGCTTGTTTTTCGAGAGAATGTCTATGAGAGAAAGGGTTTAGTTTATTTGTTTAGCATCTACTTAATTTGTTCTGATAACATATATAGATATAATATATATGAATATATGCATGTATAAAATACTAATAATGATAATTAAAAGCGTACTATGAATCTTTATATATATCTAATGTAGAAGGATACATGATTAATACATTTAATGATTATTCAACCCAACAACTTTCATAGTCTCAGAACTAAATATTAGCCTGAATTACCACAATTATTGTAATTAGAAGAGTTGGACACTAAAACAGAGACAATATAGGTGAATGCTCAAATTCGAGAAGTATATTTCGATTATCATTCTTTTTAAAGATGTTTCCATTTTTATGTAAAGAAGAAGTAAAGGCAGTCACATTTTAAGCTGCAAATGCTAATGAAAATACAATTAGAGCACCTTTAAGAATTGGTAAGATTTTAGTTTCGAATTTTAAGGTTGTGTACTTTCTGGAGGGTAAGCAGCAGGTGGTCATAATGTTATAGTGGGGATTTATGAATAAATAAAGAGAAGACATCCAAATAGTTAATTGTTTGGATTTTTGAAGGGACCAATTGGTATTTACTCAGGTAAGTATGAGGAATTGAAAGATGATACTATCAATTATTTCAAGAATAGAGGAGGTTTCGATATGATTCAAAGTGGAAGACATAAAATAGAAACAGAAGAACAATTCAAGAAATCTTTATAATATTGTTAATCTTTAAAATTAGATGGTTTAGTAGTTATTGGAGGAGATGATTCAAATACTAATGCTTGTTTATTAGCAGAGTATTTTTTAAAGAATAATTGTTAAACAAGTGTAGTTGGTTGTCCAAAGACAATTGATGGAGATCTAAAGAATGAATTTGTTGAGGTAAGTTTTGGATTTGATACAGCATGTAAAACATATAGTGAACTTATTGGTAATATTATGTTGGATACAGTATCTTCTAAAAAATATTATCATTTTATTCGTTTAATGGGTAGATCTGCATCTCATATTGCTTTGGAATGTGCATTATTGACAAGACCAACTTGGGCTTATATTGGTGAAGAAGTGGAGAAGAATAAGACTTCATTGATTTAAATAGTAACTTAATTAAGTGATTTGATTGAGAAAAGATACAAATAAAATAAGAATCATGGAGTAATTTTAGTACCAGAAGGATTGATTGAATTTATTGATGAAGTAAAAATATTAATTAAAGAAATTAATACAATTTTGGCAGCAAATAAATGGGAATCAGATTAAGTATTTAATAATATCTTAACTAAATTGACACCTGAATCATCAAAATTATTATAATTTTTACCTAGAAGTATTAGTGATTAATTATTACTTGATCGTGATCCACATGGTAATGTTCAAGTGGCTAAAATTGAAACTGAAAAATTATTGATTGAAATGGTTAAAGCTGAATTATAACGTAGAAAATATGCAGGTAAATTCTCTGCTATTAGTCATTATTATGGATATGAAGGTAGATGTGCTTTTCCTACTAAATTTGATTGTGATTATTGTTATAGTTTGGGTGTTAATGCAGCTATCTTAATTGAAAATAAATTCACTGGAGTTATGAGTTGTATTCGTGATTTACATAAAAATCCATCTGAATGGAATGCTGCTGGTTTCCCATTAGTAACTATGATGGATGTTGAAACTAGAAAAGGAAAATCTGTTCCTGTCATTAAAAAAGCATTAGTTGATCTTGATGGACCTTTATTTAAATTCTATTAATAAAATAGAGATAAATGGGCATTTCATGATTATTATCATCCTGTTGGACCAATCTAATTTGAAGGAGATTAAGTTCCTCCTTTCCTTATTAATGGAAAAGGATTTGAATTTGAAGAAGTAGATAATAAAATATATGAATAAAAACCATATGAAGAAATGCATCTTAGAAATTTATCAAAATTAGGATTAGAAAGAACCAATACTCCTTTGGCTCTACCTAAACATTTAAATCTTAAATTAAGTCTTAAGGTTATACATCATAACTATAATGATAATGTAATGAAAGCAATTGAAAAGAATTTTCCTTCTCTTATGGCCAAAAGTATAAATGCATTTCAATTTGTTCATGATGATGCTCATGAAACTCATAATAAACCATTAAGAATTGCCATAACATTGAATGGTCGATAATCTCCAGGAGCTAATTGTATTATTAGAGGATTATTGGCATTATGTGAATAAAGTGGATCTACATTATATGGATTCATTGGAGGTACTTAAGGTCTTTTCAAATAAGAATATATTGAAATCAATTAAAATAGTTTGTAATACTACATTAACTAAGGTGGATATCATTATTTAGGTCGTACTGCTGATAAAATGAGATCAGTATAAGAATTATAATAAGTTAAAGAAACTTGTAATAGTCTATCTTTAGATGGATTAGTTGTTGTAGGTGCTTCACACACTCTTACAGATTGTATAATTGTTGCCAATTATTTACTTTAAGAGAATGTTAAGACTAGAGTTATTGGAGTTCCATGCACAGTTGATAATAATATTGGTCATCCATTTTTAGAAGGTATTGTTGGTTTTGATACTGCATCCAAGACCTATTCTTAAATGATTGGTAATATTATGATAGATGCAGCCAGTGCTGTTAAATATTGGTATTTTATAAGATTAATGGGAAGAGATCCTTCACATCTTGTTTTGGAATGTGCACTTTAAACTCATCCAAATGTTGTACTTATTAGTGAAGATATAAAAGAAAGAGGACTTACATTATAAGAAGTAGTATCAGAAATTGCAGATGTGGTTGTACTTAGATCATAAAAAAATAAAGAGTTTGGTACTGTACTTGTACCTGAAGGTTTATTAGCCCATATTGGATAATTTAAATAATTAATTACAGAATTGGATAAGCATTTTACAACCAATAAATAAGAGATAATGAATAATTTAACTCCTTGGTCAGCAGCTCTATTTTAATCACTTCCTGATTTCACTCAATAATAATTACTAATGGAAAGAGAAGTTCATGGAGGTATTTAATTATCATAAATTGAAACTGAAAGATTATTAGCACATTTAGTTGCTGAGGAACTTAAAGTTAGAAAAGCTGAATCAAAATACAAGGGTTCATTTTCACCTATTTGTCATTTCTTTGGATATCAAGGTAGATGTGCATTTCCAACAAGATTTGATGCAAAATTAGGAGAAGTCTATGGTTATTTAGCAGGTTTGAGTATCTAAAGAGGATTAACTGGTTATTGTGTTTCAGCTAGAGGAATTGCAGGCCCAATTGAAAGATGGCATTTTAATGTTATTCCTTTATTAGGAATGATATCTATAAAATAAAAGAGTGCTTATGGAGAAGCATAACCTGTTATTGCTAGTTATGAAGTAGATTTAAAATAGGTAATTAGAATAATTTAATTTAATTTAGTCGCTCTTTAAATACTTTAGTCAGATTTCTAAAAATTGGTATTTGAAAGATCATTATGAGAATCCAGGTCCAATCTAATTTTATGGACCTATGGCTCGTAGACCTACTTTAACTGTAGAACTGAGTTATAAATGTTATGTGGATTAAATTGAAGAGATAGAGCGTTTAGTGGAAGTGATATCTGAATAATGTAGATTTGAAACCAGAGCTGATTTGCTTGATTTAGCTATTGCTTAATTAAAAGCTTTGGCTAGAACAATCGAAGTAGTCAAAGAGGCAAAACAGTGAAATATATATATTAATTTAACAATATGTCAGTTATTCGTGAGAGACATCCCCTCACTTCTCTTAATTAATTACAAAATCTATTTGGAAAGACTAAACCATAAGAGAACACTCATAGTGTATGTCTAGAGAAGACTCGTTATACAAGTAAACCTAAATAAAAAACTGAAGATTCTAGAAGAGAAGTATCAAATTTTTAGAAAAGTTAATACACATTATAATCATAAAAGCTATATACTAATCATTTAGATAACATCAAATCATCTAGAGCTTTTAATGTAAAAAGTTAAGATCTCTTACTCTCACCTGAAAGAATTGAATCATCATAATAAGATAATAAAGTACTTGAAATTTAAAATGATAAAAAGAGAATCCTTAAACATTCTGTTGAACATTCAAATAATACAAATTATAAATTATAAACTTAAGAAGAATAACCAAAAAAGATTGAATAGTCACAAACAATTTTATTAAAAAATCTTATATAAGCTAAATAATAAAGAGATACTACAGAAAAACTAAAGAATTCAAAAAGAGAAAAACATATTACATCAAATTAGAATGAAAATAATGGAACAAAATTATATAAAACCTAATCAAATACTCAAAGCTAAACTACAAATGAATGTAAATTATCAGAAAACACTCAATAATGGTTTATTTAAAGATTTATTAAAGATTTTTATTATTTTCTTAGTAATACAGAAAATGTCAAAATTAATTGGAATTACTCAAAAATTTATGAAAATGATTTTTAGTAAATTCTTTAAGGATTAGGATTTGGAGAAAGTAAAGATTTATGGAATGATTTTACAAATGGATCCTATATACTTTCCAGAAATATGTTAATTGTCTTACTTGCAATCCTTAATGTACCAGTTTAATAAATACCACTTTATATAACAAAGGATGATGAATAAGTATCTAAGGCATCTCATTATAAGAATGATGAAAATGGGAATTTAATACTATCCTCTTAAGATTGTATTGAGATACATAACAAATACTAATAACTATATTTGAATACCAAATTAATACATGGAAATGGATAAAGACGAAATATTGAAAAATCTAAATCACCTCCATAAGTTATCAATTTATTAAGTAATAGATCTAGAGATATGGCTATTAAGAAAAAGAATAATCTAAATATCAATGAATGGTTTGCTTAATAGGAATAGAAAAAAAAAGATAATATTGAGAAATTGAAAAGTTAACTTGAATAATAAGAAGAAATAAATGAAATCAAAAAATAAACTATCAAACCTGTTGCAATTGATTTAACTTAATTAAGCAAACCAAATAAAAAACCATAAGATAAATCAACTATTGATGTAGAATTTGAAAATCAATAATAATTTTGTACATTTTCACCTTAAATTAATCCAATGAAACAATTTCCAATCTCTACAGCTTCTACATAATATGATATTGATTAATAAGCTAAAAGATTGAGAGAGGCTCGACTTAGATAGAAGACACTAGAAAAATTGAAATGTACTGGAAACACAACAAACAATGAAAGTAGAACATAAATAAAATTATAAACTGAATAATCAAAAAGTTAAGAACCAAAATGTAAAAAAATTAAAAGCAAACCAATATTTCTTAACTTTCCAATTTTATACATTGATGTAAAAATAGATGATGCAAAAACTGTAAGATTACCAGTATTTAATGGAGACAATTCAGAAAATTTAGCTACCAAATTTGCAATAGATCATAGTAAAAATATATATTTATTATATTAAGATTTAGATAATTCTTTAGAAGAAAGACTAAAAGATTTATTAGAAGAGTAAATAACTTCTGTATAAGGTTAATAGTTATGAATTTACTTATAATTTATTAATAATTAGATTGATAAGTATAAATTGATTTATTTATACAATTATCTCATTTTTAATTTCCACTATCCGATTTATCTGATTGTTGTGATTGATCTCTTTTATGATTCTTAGATTTCTTATCCTTTTTCTCTTTTTTATCTTTATCTTTATTTTTTTTACTTTTTTTCTCTTTTTTTTCTTTTTTTATTTTTCTTTCTTTTCCCTTCTCTTCTGAATTCTTTTTCTCAAATTTCTTATTTTACTTTTTCTATAATCTTAATAATCTCTCCTCATTTGTTTCTTATTTTTCTGGTTCTTGAATTTCTTTATACTTTTGCATCTTATTATTGAAATATTAAAGAGCTTCAATTTTTTCTAATAGTTCTTTCTTCTCATCTTAAACCATTAACATTTTATCCCACTTTAAAATATTATAATTATAATACCCTTTCATCCTCATCAATAATGGTCTGCATATTTTTTATCTATTACATATTCTCAAATATTTTTTCATTCCTTTTCTGAATCTCTTATGATTAAGCTTCTATTTATGCTTTTAATACTAATTCTTCTTAAGTCAACTCTCTAAAAATTCCCCAACCTTTACCATCAGGACCAGATGGTTTATAGAGCTTGTTAAATATTTCTGGATCATCAGGGGAGATATCAAGATACTCCTTAGGGGGTTTGAACTCTCTTACATGATCTACTCTTAATAATCTTCCACCTTATTGATAATTCGTATAAATACATATTTCTGCATGATTGAAGTTATCTACAGCCAAGATTGTTGATCTTTAATCTTCATATGCCAAGAAACAAAACCCTTTCGATTTACCAGTAATTTTATCTCTAACTAAATGTACATCAACTATTTCTCCATATTATGAAAAGACGATAGCTATATCACCTTCATTCATAGCATAATTAAGATTGGCAACAAATATGTAACTACTCTTATTGTATTCATCATGCCATGTTGTTGTTTGCATATTTTCTAATGCAACATCATTTAATTTCTTAATAGTCTTACTCATAAAATAATTAATGAACAAATGCTAACAAATAGGATTCATATATTGTGTATCAGGAAAATGCAACCATTTTGGATTATGTTTGGAGTAAGTTGCCCTTTCAACAGCCTCTATTTAGGAACGGCATGCTCTTTGTTGTTGATGACATTATGTATATACCAAATTACAGTGAGAGTAATCGAATAGAGAAGATTTTACAAAAGAAAGCAAATTTTGTTTTTGATAATTTTACTAGCTGATACTTGTAATGATATTTTTAGGATAGCAAAAATAAATAGTTTTTTTCATCTTTACGATGGATAGAAATCTAGCATTTGCTTATTTTTTGTATTTTTACTTTGATTAATCTTTTTTGATTTTTCTGGTTTACTTCTTTACGAAAAAGGCAACCGATCTTAATGTTTATAATAAAAGCAATACAAAATTAGTGAGAGGATGCACATATGGATTATTTGCTTTTTTTTCCATATTATTATTGATAGATATAATCGTCTATTATTTGAGATAGGGTTATGGAAATTGTAGTTGTATATAAAAAATATCTTAAGCCTTAGACATTACACTTTTTGTGATCAGAGTGGTGGAATTATTTGCAAGCATTATATTCATCATAGGAGCTTATTTTCTAAATAAAAAAATGAATGCTTTGATTACAGAATAAATAATTTTCACAAACAGGATGACAGGAGTAGAAAAGACTTAGTTCATAAAGATTAGAAATATAAAATTGAAATTTTGGTAATATAACAATTGTTATAAAATAAAAGGACTTTAGTTTGTGTTACAGCAATTGGATAAGTAATTTAATGGAGTGCAGATTTAAGCTATTTCATATATTCTCAATCAAATCAAACTTTAAACTAAACTTAATAATAATGTTATTTTCCTGCATATGTAAGATATTAGAAATTTTTATATAGAATATTGTGTTGACACCTTAGGTTGATTTATTAATTTGTCTCTTTGGATATTTTTTGCCATTGTTTTGTGCTGTTTATTTGTTTTGGTTCAAAAAGAAATAAGTGTAATATGTGGTAAGAATCTCATCCCCCTTATATAGAGGAATCATTAGAAGTGGAAAGTTTACCAGAACGATACTATCATAAATTATTAAACTAATCAAATAGTTCATTCTCTTCTTCAAAATAAAATTGAAAAAAAAACAATACAAATTATAAACAATTATTCTGCAACATTATTTAATTAATAAGTATCTTCAATTAATTAAATATATATATGTTCATGATGAAAGAAGATATGATTTTCATTAATTATATTAAATAACCATGTCTTGGGATGCTTATGTGACAAATTTGACAGCCAATGGAGTTCTTGAATATGCTGCCATTATTGGATTAGATGGAAACATTTGGGCAAGCAATTTAGGTGTTGCTGCCCTTCCTTCATATCAAGCTGATGTACCAGATGAGAAGAATCCAGATGTTACAACCAAGGTTGCTTATGATGAGAAGGCTGCTTTTGTTCATGCTCTTACTCACAATGGAGAATCAGGTAATAAAGCTGGAGTTAGAATCAACAATCAAAAATATTATTCAGTATAATTCGATGGTGAATCTAAGACATGGTATTTGAAGAAGGTATTTTACAAAATGATAATAAATAGAACAAAGGAGGAGCATGCGTTGCTTGGGCTAACACAGTCGCTGTATTTGCTTCATTCTCCCAAACCATTAATGCAGAAAATGGAGCACCTTAGAATGCTAGTGATTGCAACAAACGTGTCATTGACATGGCAAAATACCTTGCTGATGCTGGATATTGAGTTGTTATGTTCAAATAAAACATAAATAAATATACATCATATATCTCCTTCGACCCCCTCTCTTTCTTCATATTTTACAAAGTTAATAAGGTATTGTTCTAGAATTTATACCATAAACGTGTTTTAATAATTAAAATGAAAACTTTTCTCCTTCTCCTCTGTGTCCTCCTTCAAACACTATGCTAAGATTATTATTAATTACTTGGAGTACAGCGTGGTGCATCAGATGATTAAATCAAAAAGGCATTCAAAAAACTATCACTAAAATATCATCCTGATAAGGCCAAAGGAAATAAAGAGGAAGTATATCTAATCTTGTTATATTAGTCTGAAAAATAATTCTAAAAGATTGTCAATGCATATGAAATACTTAAAGACCCAGAATAGAGAAAAATATATGACAAATATGGAGAAGAAGGATTAAAAGAGCATACTTAAAGATAATAATAATGTATTTATTGATAAATAAAGAGAAAGAATAGGGACATTTTAATTATAATGATGTTTTCTCTAGATTTTTTGGAGGAGGATTCTAATAATAAAAACCAAACCTTGAATAATCATTATTTTCAAAAAGTGATGTTTATGAAATTGATATGACAACTATAAATAGATTTTTTAGAAGAGATCATGTTTGGATGATTTATTTCTATAAAAATGATGATTATGGAAGGTAACATAAAAATACTTGGAATGAATTATCATCAAAATATTATGGTATTTTCTAAGTAGCTGCTCTAAATTGTGCTGCTGAAAATGAAATTTGTGATGATGAATTCTAAGTCTATGAATTTCCTAAAGTATATGCTTATCCTGCAAATATAAGATAAGAACCAGTTGAATATAAATTAAAAATGGAAATAGATCAACTAGCAAAATTTGCTATCTAGTTTATGGAAAGTTTTGTAAGCATAGTTACTAATGATAATTATGAAAAATTTATTCAACAAGATGAATAACATATAGTCTTATTATTCACTAATAAGACTTCAACACCTCCTCTACTTAAAGTATTATCTAAAGAATTAAAAGGAAAACTAGTTTTTGGACAAGTAAGAAATTCAGATAAAAAATTGGTTGAGTAATTTTAAATTAAGAATTTTCCAACTCTTATGGTAGTAACTGAACCAGAATAATATAGAGGAGTCATATATGAATAAAATGATTTTAAAAAAGAATAAATTATGAAATTCTTAAGAGAATATGCATATATAAGCAAAAAAGTTAAAAAAACTCATTAAGGTCCTAGAGAATTGTCAAATTTATTAATAAAAAATGGGGCTTGTACAACAAAAGACACTAAAATGTGTTTCATTATTATAACTGATGATAAAGATTATTTAGATATATTAACACCATTGTCTTATCATTATATGAAAGACAAAATCGATTTTTATTATATTAATAAAAAGTAAATATTTAATCATATATTTTTAGTAATTTAATTTATTCAGAAGTTTTTGATGATGTTAGTAATTTCCCAACAGCTGTAATGATCAAACCTAAAAAGGAAAGATATGCTAAACTTTAAGGGGAATTGACACTTTCAAATATTTAAGATTTTCTTGATTCGATAATTAGTGGAAATGTATAATTCAAATCAATGAAAGATAGTCTTGATCTTAATATTTTTAAAGAAGATTTGTGATTTTAATGTTAATATAAATATTTTATTATAATAAAAAATATAAATTTATTGATTGTTAATATATAAATATTATAAAAAAGGTTGTTAAGAAATTTAGTAAGTAAATAAATATTTTTATTCATTTTATTCTTAGTACATGATTAAATAAAGTTCTTTCTAATCAAAAGGTTCAAATGTTTTAACAATATTTTAAAATAAATTAGGATTGATAAAATTAATATGAAATATAATTAATATATATATATTACTGATTTAATACATTACTTCATTTCTTCAAAGATCTAATCTATACATTATGTTGATTCCATTCTTTTTAATAGACTCCAATATATTTATTAAAGTTTTGAAGTCATCTTAAAATTTGATTGAGATCTGTGATTTCAAACAATCTCCAATTCAAACTTTTGTTTTAGTTATTACCATAAATTGTGTGGAAATAGGTAGATATAATGGATTTTAATGAATGAATGATATATTTTTATATTAATCATTTGACTTCAACGATATCTGCTCTTGTGGTCTCTGCTACAGCAGCAGCTTCAGCAATTACTTCTGCTGGAACTCCCATTTCTTTCAAAGTGTCACCAAGATGCTTAACAATTGTGTTGAAGGCAGCTGTTGTAATTCCAAGGCCAGCATGACCAGCTTTCATGTCCTAATTATATAAAATAATATAATTACTCTTCCTTTATAGTTATTGGGTCCTCCAAAAGCCATAGTAAGGAACTTTTATTACATCTCTGTCTATTTCTTCATGTCTGTGTTTTTGAAATAATGACTGACAGATGGATCAGAGAGTACTTTTTAATAAAACTTGACAACAGCTGCGTCAATATTAGCTTAGCCTCCTAATTTATCGAAGATGGTCTTATTTTACATTGCCAAATTTAATTAATGATTTGAAATACAAAATATGATTTCGTTTAAAAATGGGAAAAAAAAGATATTTTTAGATAACTAAAATTATTTTATTGAATTAATTAATTTATTAATCACTATTAATCATAATATTTAAAATCTTCTATCTAAGTTGTATTAGACTTACGAAATAATCCACTAGTTACTTTGAGTTAGTTTGTATCAAACTATTATTCTTGCATAGGTTTAATAGAACAAAATTAGCTTTTTCTAATAGTGGATTTAATTTTAACATCATAATAATCTTCCCCATCACTAGATCCTGTATAACAATCTTTTTTCAATAGAAATGTTCTTTATCTTTATCTATTTGAGTTTCTGGATGCAAGATGACTTATATTTTTATTAATAGTCAAATGTCTTAATGTCTTTCTGATTACATTTCCTCTAAACCAAGGATGTCCTAGAGCATTATCTGGATATGGTCTTTCTTATGGATCTTTTCTTAATAATTATTAAATTAAATGTTTGGCTTCAGCAGAAACTTCTGAAAAGATTTCTTCAGGGAAATCATATTTGGCTTGTTTAATATTTTCTACAAGGTCATTCAAACTAAGATAATAATGATTAGGATTACTAATCTGCATTAAATGGTAATTATCCAGAAAGCATTGAATAAAGAATACAACCTGCACTCCACATATCAACCATTTAACTTTCAAAATATCATTAAAGTATTTATTACTTATAACCCTCTCCTGTAAATATTTCTGGTGCAGAAAATGCCACAGTGCCAGTATATGTCCACATTTCTATTTTTTCAGTATCTTTCAAGTCTCCAAATAATTTATATGAATCACTAAATTTACTAACATTGAAATCTGTAACTTTAATTTATTTTCTATCTAGAAGAAGATCATTTTAAATGATTTACCTTAAAGACATAAGATATTGTTTGGTTTTAAATCTCTATGACAAATGCCATGACGATGCATATATTCAATGGCACTTAGTAATTATTTGAATAATTCTTTTGCATCATCTTCACTATAATGTCCAGCATCATTTATAACTTCAAACATCTCTTTGCCATGTATCAACTCCATAATTACAAATGCTTAACTTTCAGATTAAAATCCAGTATCAAAATCTAAGTACATTTTGTAGGCTTTAACTATATTATCATGTGATAATTGAATTAATCTCTTAAATTCTATAATCATCTTAAAAGGTATTATTATTGTCTTTTTACATTGCGTACAATTTCATCATCTTAAGTAGCAACTATCTTAACAGCAAATTCTAACCCTGTATTTTTTTAGACTATTCGTTTCACTAATCCTAAACATCCTTCTCCTAATCTCTCATGAATTTCATAATCTTCAAAAAACTCTTTTGTATTTGGAATAATATTTTCAACATCAATTAAGGTAATTTCTAAATCTAATTTCTTACCTAATTCAATTAACTGTTCTTCTCTCATTTATAATGGCTATATTGGCTTATTAATTATTGCATTCAATTAGCCTAAAATACATATTAGTTAAATTTTACATTTTAACTGTTGTTTGATTCGATTTCTATTGCTCTAAATTTAAGTTTATTATTCTTCCTCTTGAGTTTTTTTGAATGTAAACCGTCCACTATATTTTCTATCTAACATAGAAGATCTTTGTGAAATTCTAAGTGAGTCTTATGGACTTCTTTCTAAAACCCTATCATCTTGCATTTGAGTTTATATTAATTTATAGTATTGATTAAATTGCTAATACAATAAATTTCTGATGAATAGACAAATTATATTAATTTATTCTTTTTTGTAGATATATATGTACTAATAATATTTGTTAGATATTTAATTTTAAGATTTAAAGTATGTGAGTGATGGTTTAAATTAAAAATAGATTCTATTAAAATATTAATGGATTATATATATAATGGTTTTTTTAGAATTCATTTATGATAATGTACTATTTATTCAAAATTAGATATAACATTGAGAATATGATAAATAATTTGAATATAAATATAATTATGAAAAGTGAACAATAATCATTATTATTGACAAAAAGAGAGGAATTTCGATTTTCGATTAGAAAGGAGAGATTAGAAGATTTATTCAATTAAAATCGAAAGAAATGTAATTTGAACAATGAAGTGGATCCTATAATAGAGATTCCAAGTTTTTCAGAATCATAAGAACTTCACAAATATCTAATAGATGGAGAGTTTAGTTAATAGAAATTATTGAAGGCTGCAAATGACAAATAATTATTAAATAAGTTATTTTTAAGTGCATAGTAATCAGATTATTATTCAATCACAATTTTGAGTAATATTTGTACACAATAAAATCTTGGAGAGTGTGAAGTGCTTTTTCTGAATTAATTAAAATTGGCAAAATAAAGAATGGATATAAGAATGATTGATAATGTAATAATACAATAAAAATTATTTAGTTATTTGATGCTCTTAATAGTATTTGTACACAAGAATTAACAAGAAAATAATTAGAATACTTATTAAATAATAATCTAATTGCATTAGTAAATCAAATACTAAAAGAAAATTAACATGAAATATATACTGATGATGAATTTAGAATGATAAAAAGTGGTACTGAATTATTCTGTAGATTCTTTAATAAATTTAGAATCTTTACAGAAGATGAATTAAATTAAGTAATATTAAAATACAATTAAGAAGTATTTAATAATATATATATATATAGATTCGATATACATTTTATTTAATGAAATAATTACTTCCACTATAATTATAATATCCAAAAATAACATTTATGTTTGTTAAAAATCTCATTTAAATTATTTCATTAGATCCAGATATAGCTAATGATTTAGATAATTAAACACTTTAGATTTGTGTATAACTCTTAGAATTAAGTGATAATTAGATATTAATATCTATAATTTTAAGATTTATGATTGGTATAAGTGCTTTTAAAGATGAAAAATTTGTATAAAGAATATTCTTTTTAAAAGGTCATAATATTGTTAAATAATATATTAATCATGAAAGTTTAATTATAAGATAAGCTTCTATAAAATTATTAGCTAATTTTACTAATGTAGATTCTGAAAATCTATAAAAAGAAATAGTTTCAGATCTTCCTTTCATTGCAGAAGTTGTTTAAAACTTTTAGAATTCTGATAAAACAGATCAAAATTATTTAAGACTTATTTATGGTATTACATATAATTGTATGACTTATACATCTACAGAATTAATTCAAGATTTAAGAGTATTTTAAATAGTTAGAATAAAATTTCTATTAGAAGATTAAGAAGAAACAGAAAATATTATTATATATTTAAAAGTACTCTATACTTTAATTTACTATTACTAAGCTTATTGTATAGATGATACTGAATTAGAATAAAAATTAGAAGTTTTATTAGATCATAAAAATAATGATATAATTAAACTTGCTGATGAAACATTGAATTTGATTGACTAAAAAAAAGACTAATGTATGAATGAATGATTTTTTAAAACTATGATGATACACAATAATAATAATATCATTATTTTCTCTTTTTACACATCAATCTTTACCAAAAATGTTTCATATAAACACAAAACAATTAATATTTTTATTCAAATGGAGTTTAAATAGTGGATTTCCAGAAAGATTCATCCAACTTCATCATTTTTGATTGAATCTTTTCTCTTATAAAGAATTCTTCCAATTTATCTTTTTGTTTAATTCTTAATATACACTCTTCCAATTATTTATATTAATCTGAATATGTTACAGGTTTTATGGTACTTAATAAAATAACTGTATTTGATCTTTTATATACTTATTGGATCTACTTATAACTTTATTTATTGTACTCTCTCTGAAATCTATTATCGTAATCTAACTTATTTATCCATTGGAATCTAATCCATTTTACAACCAACAAAAATAAAAGGAATTTATAAAATCTCATCCATTGGAATTCCTTTATAACTATTATAATTTAATAAACAATCCTATTCATCTTATATAGCAATGCTACTCTATCTTGAAAATTCACTATTATCTGTTTCCAATACTTCTTCATTTTCTTCATGAATTACACTCTTTATTGTTAATCGTTGAATCCATTTTCGAAGATTATCTAAAGTCTTCAAATTAGTCACATCAAAACAGAATATTATACCATTCAATTTTAATCTTGATATATAAACATCTAAATATTATCTTTAAGCCTTATCTCCAGAAAGATCTAAAATTTACAATAAAAATTATTGTTTTTATGTAAAATCATTTCTTAAAGCCATCCTTATATCACATCCTTATGTTTTATATGGCTGTTTACATACCTTACCTTACATCTTATCAGGATATTTTCTATAAGTCAAAATGTTAACTAATGAAGATTTCCCTGTCTGACCATCTCCAACAACCAAAATCTATTTGAATATAATATTATATGCATACTTACAATTTAGAAAGACTTTAATAATTTTTATTATCTCGATATCTAAAGTCTTGAGATTCAATATTCATTAATTATTAAAATAATAATTAACATGCTAACTATTCGTAATGAAGGACCTTTCTTAGTATAAGAATTAGATGTCTCATTACAATAAGACAATAACAATGCTATTGTCATAGATGAATCAGATCTTGTCATATTAATACCAGATGAATAAAAGACTAAAAAAAGAAAATAAAATCTAAGTAGGTAAAATAAAAAAAAATAGAATAAAGTGTAATCATTCAAAAAATCAAATACTAATTTAATATCAAATAAGAAAGAAAAGAAACAATAGAAATTTAATAACATTCATTGTAAAAATAAGTTCTTCAAAGACATAAATATGTAATGTTCATAAATCATCCAAAATAATGATCTCAATAATTGCCCTCTAAAATTTTGCACAAATCAAGATAAAGTTTCCAATGAATCTAAAGCATTCTAATCAATGATGGAAAATGTATAAAAATACAAAGAATAAGTTTCTTGGTCAAATAAAAAGGATCATATTTAAATTCCAGATAAATTATTAAAAGATGAAATTCAAGACATTCAATTGTTTGTTCCATAAATAAAAGGAATAAATGATTCTATTTGCTCTAATACCTTATATCTAAATAAAATTAAAGATAAAATCCTTCATGTTTCCAGTCCAACATAGAATACATAAAATATCAAATACCCAAAAGATATATCAAGAGATGCTTATATAGAATATTTAAAAAATATCTAAATGAATAGAGTGATCTCTCAAAATAAATAATTACCTTGATCTGTTAAATAAATCAAAAGTAGTAAAAAATAATATTAATAATGCCTTCTCCTTCTTTCCATTAATCCATTCAAATTCTTAAATACATATTTATTCTTTATTTTACTATTCATTTCATCTACATATTTTGTAAAATCAATTAAGTTCTCTATATTCTATTCTTTTTTTTTAATTTTAATTATCAATCTATTACTTTTTCTATATAATTATCCTTTCTTATATTTTATTGATAATTTAAAACATTTTCATTTCATCTCTTATTAATTGATACCCTCATAATTTTAAATTACTTTTACATCTATTTGATTAATATATTATTATATATATCAATAATTGCATTAAAAACAATTAAAAATTCTCGAAAATCTCAGATAAAAAGAACCCAATATAATTTTAGTTAATTTTATATCAGTCGATATTTCATTTTTATAAAGCAAAACCACCACCCACAAATTTTTTCTCTGGTAAAATTACTTAGATTGACTATCCTTATTCTTCCTATATACGAAGGTCTCTTTATTATTATTCTCTCTTTTTTTAATTAAAGTACTTCTACTTAACTCTTTACAATTCCTTGAAAATAAATATATTTATTACTTTATTGATTCTATCTATTTCTAATTTATATTCATTAATATGTGATTAATACATACTCAATTCCTAATCCATTGCTTTCATCTATTCTTCTTTCTATCTAAGACTATCTTAATAATATGGTATCATAGCTTAATCTTCTAATCCAGGTTTACGTTTCATCTCATCTTTCAAAGCCTTTAATTCTTTTTCCTTTTCTTCTACAACCTTCTCTTTAATAACAACTTCCTCTGTTTTTTGGATTAATCTCTTTTATAGACTGTGTATTTTTGTCATTAATTCATAATTTTCAGAATCTGTAGCTTCCAATTTTCTCCATCTATGTACATTCATTGGATTTTCTAATTCTTCTGTCAAAGCTTTAGCTTTCAATTTCTCTTCTGTTAACTCTTTTGTTAGATTATGTATATCTCCTTCTAAATCTTTAATAGTATCAGCTTCTCTTTTAAAAACCTTAATTTCTCTTTTATAATCAGCTATTTTTTCTTTTAACATTTATATATCTCCTAATCTTTCTCTATATTATTATTCTCCTTTTTTAAGAGTACTTTCATTAATTTTGATTTTCTCATAAAGTAGATTAGTTTCTGATATTCTTCTTATGAGTTAAGTACTTAAGATATCTCTTTCAGCCACAACTAATTCAAATTCTTCTTTGAGATTTTGTATTTATTATTCTTCATCTTTAATTGTAAATTGTAATTTATCAACTCTTTTAATATATTTATTAATCTTTTCAGCTTTTTCATCTATATCTGTTTTATATTTTTCTAATACTCTAGATTATTCTTCTATAGTTTTATCCTTTTTTTTATGTTCTAAATGTTCTTTGGCTAATGCATTACCTTTTGCTTCTATTTCTTCTTTTAATTATGATATTTAATGATTTACTATTTTATAACTTCTTCTCATTTTTTCAATTTCTTATTATTTTTCTGTATAATTTTTAGAATATAGATTTCTATCACTTCTAACTGTTTCATATAGATTTTATTATTATTTTAATTTAGCTTCAGTTTCAATATTCTTTTTTTAGAATTCACTAATTAATGAATCTTTTAATTTAATTTCATCTAATGAATGAAAATATTTAGTTTATGCTTATGAAAATTATAAACATTATTATTCTGTTTCCTTTTCAACATTTGCAATTTTCTTATTGAGATAATCAATTTTCTTTTATAAACCACCTAATTCATTTTATTTTTCACTTAAATATTTTTATTTAGCAATAAAATCTTCTTCAATTTTCTTATTATTATTATCACATCTATCAATTTCTTTTTATAAAATATTTCTTGCCCTTCTTAAATCCTCAATCACTTATCTATCATCTGATGCTTTCTTTCTTTCTATCTAAATATCATCCTCCAATTAATTTAATCCATTATTTGCTAATAATTTTTCTTCTTCAATTTTTTCTTCCAATTCTTCTTATTCTTTCACTAATTCTGTCATTCTTTTCTTTTTCTCTTCTCCTTCATTTATTTTTTAATGTAATTATGCAATTTCAGTTTCAAATAATTCTATCTATAATCTAGTATCCTTAATCTTCTCTTCTATTTATTCATTTATTTTCTCTACAGAATCCAATTTCTCCTTAGTATCCCTTAATTCCTTATCCACTCTATTCTTTTCTTATTTAAAATTTTCAATTTCTTTTGTTTTAACACTATTTTATAAAGTCACCTTTTCAATTTCACTTTTTAATTTCTTCTTCTCATTACCTAATTATTTTTCATCGTCTTTCAATGAATCAAAATCCTTTTTAATCTTCTCCAATTCTGCTTAAGTTACATTCTTTGCCTCCTCATCTTTTTATAATCTCTCCTCAAATTCAGATTTCTATTGCTATAATATTCTATATTCTTTCATAACTGATTCCTTAGAAGTCTCTAAAGACTTAATTCTATCTGTAATTGATTAATTTTCTGATCTAGTTCCAAATACCTAAATCTATAAAATCTCTTTTTCTTTTAAAAGTTCTTACTTTCTTTATAATAACTCATGTACAGTTGTAGTCTATCCTGAATTTAAAGCTTTACTTTACTCAATTGTTTGATTGAGTTATCTATATAATAATAATATAACAATTACTTAATTTCATTTTCCTATATTTTAATTTTTTATTTATGTTTCTCTTCCCTCTCTTATTAAATCTCTAACACCTTATATGCTTTTTCTAATTGAGTTTTCAATTATTATATAGCAGCAGAATCGTCAGCTGTCATTTTTAAAACAGTTTGAATCTAATGTTAAATGGATAAATACTTTAGATGCATTCTAAGAGATTTCTGCATTATACTCCCTACATTTGCTAATTAATCGTCTTTAATTCTCATGAATAATTTTCAGCGAACGATAAAGTTTATCAAACTCAGATCTAAATCTCTCTAAGTTTTAATCAGTGCCTAAATCACGTAAGACCTCTTAAAAGTCTCTTTCCATAGTATCAAATTGACCTGTGTCTATATCTAGATCCACTTAGTTTTACATTAATAAAAAATATTTATATATATCAATGCAAATTCGTTAACCAACACGATATCCTGTAGTACCACAATTCTAAAATCTGAACTAATATGGTCTTTTTGTCTCACCAACACAACGAACATCTCAAATCTAAAGAATTGGAACTCCAAATACATTACGTTTTGACTACCAGAGATTAAGAAATACTCAATCTATGCAACAATATCCTATTATGTCTTAAACTTCAGTAGTCACTCCATAAAAAGCCATCACAAAAAAACCACATATCAAAATGCCTTAACCTGGACAAACAGTTTCACAGTCTTAGACACCTTCTTATGATCCTGCCCTTATGGTTGGTTTGATCAAGGAAAATTAGGAAATTAAAGCAAAAATTGCTTAGAAAGAAAAGGAGCTGTAATTACTAAATGAAGAAATTGCATTGTTTGAATAAAAATCATGATATATATTAAAATATTTAATGGCTGAATAGGTTTAGATGTTATAAAGTAAGATTGAAGAAGAGTCCAAACATCTTTAGACTTTACAAAGAGAAATGTAAAAGTATGTTGAAGGTATTCACTTCTACTCTAATTGAAGGCAGACAAAAACTCATAGAGTAATCTCATGAAAATGAAATGGTCAAAAAAGAACTTGATCTACTTGAACCAGAAGCAAAAGTATACAAACTTATTGCTAGTGTTTTGGTAATCAATATTTGCATTAACTTTTAAAGGTTTCATAAACCCTCCAAGAGTCTAAAGAGAATGTGAGTAAAAGATTAGATTTTATTGGAAAAGAATTCAAAAAAGTAGAGGACTTAATTAAAGAGAATACAAACAAGCAAATTGCTAAGAAAACATCAATCTAAAAAATGCAAGAATAACTCTATTAAATTGTTTAAGCTTATTAACAATCCTTAAATAAATGAGAATGTAAAATTTGTTCTAAATACATATATATAAATTTTAAATAATGGTATATAATATATATAACATATGTTTAAATAGTCTATATAAACAAAATATATAAAAAAATAATTGATATTCTTTTATTTATAAAAATAAATAACTTCCTTAAGATATATTTTATTAGGATTTAGATTAATAAATTAAATCTATTATAAAATATATCATTTAAAATCACAAAAATAGATGTAATAATATTAATTTTATTATTAATACTAAATTTTTAATTTATATATACAAATGCTTTCATTATTTCTAACTTAAAGTTCTTTTTAATATATTACTTGATAATATCATTCTTTAATCAATTAATATGTATCAATTATTTTATTATTTCATTTTTGTAATCTAATATTTTAGTTTTAGTATTATCACTTTATAATAATATCTTAAGAAAATTCATCTGCAGATATAAGTTTATATTATTATTGAATTAGTAACAAGATAATTATATTAATATAATAAAATAACTAAAAAGGAGAAGGTAGTATAATTATTTATTTGAACATATTTTAAATTAATTTAATATATGTCGAAAAGCAATTCAACAAAAGTGGCATTAGTTTGTTTGAAAACATCTCAAAACATTACAAATCAATCATTACTTCAAGTTTTTGGGAAGCATGGTAAAATCACAAAGGTAAGATAAAGTTTGAATTAACATAGATTTTGATCTTCGAGTAAGGTCCAATGCAGACAAAGGTTTTTATTGAATATGAAGACCCTGAATAAGCCTAGGATGCTATCAAGTAGGGATTTTAAGTTGATTTAGCTGTTTAAACAATACTAAAGTGATGAATAATATCATTTGCAATGTTTATCCTTCTAGGCTTAGAGAACTGAAATTAGATAATGTGCCAAATACAAAAGGAATGGATTTAACTTAGAAGTTACCTTTCAGTATGCCATCATTATGGGACTTGAATGTGAATGAAGATGAGTCTGCATAACAAGTATCAGAAGAGAAACTTGTTGATATTAGAATGAAGCTGAGTATGATCGATGAAGAGATAAGCCGTACTATAGAGAGCAAATTAGACAATGCTTTAATTAAGCTATATCAACAGACAAAATGTCTAAGAGTTCTAATGGGAGACTATCAACTAGAGGAGATCTTGCACAAAACTAGCAAATATGGAAAAATAGTACACCTCCTGCCACTCCATAATTTAGGTTTACCTGAAGCAGGCATAATAGGAAGTGTACGTGAAGTATGACTCAGATAAAGAGTGTTAATAAGCTTATGAGGAGCTCAAAGACCAGATGATTGTGCAGATCAAGTACAATTTCGAGAGCATCCCTGGCTACGTGATGGTGAACTCAAATTGCTGAAACATCCTCTCTCAATTTATAATTTATTTAATTTAATGTGGCTGCATCCTGAAACTATGATCAAACTTGGTAACGAATTCTTTCAAAAGAAGGAATTTGACTAAGCCATCAATTGGTATCAATAGTCTATAAATAAAAATACACAATTTGTGGAAGGATACTACAATTTAGGGTTGGTATATATGTACCGTAAGAAATTTGATGATGCCATTAATTACTTCAAACAATCCTTAGATTTAAGGCCAAGCTTTCCTGAAGCCTTGTGTAGTATGGGAATTGCATTGTATAACCTCAATTAAGTAATTGTGTCTAATCATAGTTTATTAGTATGAAAAAGCTTTGAACTATTTGGATCAAGCTCTTAAACATCGTCAATCCTATCCAAATCCTTTGAAGTACAAAGGAGATACTATTAGGAAGATGGGAAATTTATAAGAAGCAGTCAATTAATATAAATAAGCAATATAGTTGAAGGTAACTGTTTTCCTTAATATTCCTTTTAGCCTGACTTTTATCAAGCTCATAAAGCATTGGGAGATACTTATAGAAAATTAAAAGAATACAAATTATCTATCTAATCCTATGATAATGCATTAGAATATAATTAAAAATATGCTGAAGTCTTCAAAAAGAAAGCAGATTCTTTAAGAAATCTTGGGATTTTTGAAGAATCATTACAAAATTATACAAAAGCAATAGAGATAAGGCCAAGCTATCCAAAGGCTTATAATGATGCAGGGTTGCTATTTATTTAGAATACTAAGTACAAAGAAGGAGTTGAGTATTTTTAGAAGGCAGTTTAATTGAAACAAGATTATAAGGATGCCTATAATAATTTGGGTGTTTGTTATTATCATCTCTTACAATATTAAGAAGCTATCACTTAATTTGATACAGCTCTTCAAATATAAGTAGGTTTTTCGATTCCAATGTTAAACAAGGCATCAACATTATTGAGAATGAAGAAGTATGATGAAGCAAATAAATGTTTTGATTAGGTGATGAAACATTAACCAAAGAATGTTTAGGTCTTATTGGGTAAAGGAATCTCTTTATATGAGACAAAGAAATATGAGCAAGCAGCTCTATTATTGAGTTAAGCTTATGATATTGATAGTAATAATTTTGAAGTAGTCTTCAATTATGGGGTCTGTAATTTCTAATTAAAGAAATATAAAGAAGCTTTGTAATTATTATAAGAGGCTTAATAATTAAGAGATACTTTGGAGGGTCACTTTAATTAAGCAATTTGTTCATTATATTTAAAAGACTATGAATATTCTAAAAAGGAAATTGAGATGTATGTTGTTCATTAGGAAGATGATATGGAGGCTAAATCAGTCTAGGGAATAGTTGAATATTATCTTAATAATCTTAGTTTTGCTTAGGAATGTTTCTAAGAGGTTTTGAAGAGATAAGAGAATTAAGTTGTTCATAATAATCTTGGAGTCATTTTGTTACTCAATTAATAATTTGATGAGGCATTGAAACATTTTAATGCATCTGTATCAGGTAAAGGAGATTATGCTGATGGTTTATATAACAAAGGAGTTGCATTGTGTAATCTAAATTAGTATGAGGATGCCATCAGATAATTTAATAAAGCAATTTAACTTAAACCAAAAAATGAGTGCAAATTCGCATTTATCAATAGGGGAATATGTTTAAAAAATCTTAAGAAATTCAATGAAGCCATATAAAATTATGATGAGGCCATTCAACTTAGTTAAGGTACTGATGTAGAAGATATCTATTACTTTAAAGGTAATTGTCTATTGGAATTAAATAAATATGAAGATGCTATTTAATTATATGATTAAGCAATTTAACTTGAGAGTGTTTACAGTTCATCAGCTAATTTCTAAAAGGGTATAGCATACACAAATCTCAAACATTTTGATGATGCCATTCAATCCTATTAACATGCAATTGAATAAAATTCTTAGAATTCTTGGGCATATTTCAATTTAGGAATTACTTATTACAATTTAGAAAATTATGAATAAGCTTTAGTACAATTTACAAGATCTTTTGATATATAACCAACTTTTAAGGATGCTGTATTTAATGAGGCTGCTGCTTATATAAAATTAAAAAGATATGCTGAAGCTATTAATAGTTTAGACAAATATAATCAATTAGAAAGCAATGATTATGAAAGTTTCTTTTTAAAAGGTTGTTTATTAAAATAATTGATGAAGTATGAAGAAGCTTTAGAATGCTTTTCAAAAGCTGTTCAATAAAAACCAAATTTCTTTGAAGGTTAATTTAACAAAGGAGTTGCTCAACTTGAGAGTGGATTGTCCAAAGAAGCTGTAATTACATTTGATGCTGCATTCAAATTAAAGTCTGACTCAGAGAAATCTCTTAATAATAAGGCTGTTTCCTTACTTAATCTAAGCAAACCTGAAGAAGCTATTAAAGAATTAGAGAAGGCTATTAAATTAAGTCCTAATAATCCTACTTTGTTAAATAATAAAGCAGTTACTTTAATTGATCTAAAGAGACAGGATGAAGCATTGACTATACTAGATGAAGTTATTAATATTGATCCAACATTCTTCAAGGCATATAATAACAAAGGAACAATATATTTCAATCAAAAGAACTTAGCCTAAGCCTAACAATACTTTTCAAAGGCAGTTGAGATCAATCAAGAATATGATTCTGCAAGAATTAATTTGAGTATTACATTTTAGGAAATGGGTGAATATCAATTGGCTGTTTAATAATGTGAATTGATTTCTAATTAATAATGGTTAAATAGTAATTCTGAAGCATTGATAGCTTTTGCTACTGCTTTGAGAAATTGTGATCGTTTTGAAGAGGCTAAATAAAAATATGAATTATCATTACAATTGAATCCTCGTCATTCATAAGCATAAAATGGATTGGGAATAGTATATTCAAATATTGGTTAATATGAAGATGCTCTTAAATGCTATGATTAAGCTATCAATTTAAATAATAGATATCCAGAAGCATTAAATAATAAAGGAGTCACACTTTATCTTATGGGAAGATATGATGAATCAGTTTAAATGTTATAATAATCTTTAAAATTGGAAGTCAAAAATGCATAAACTTTAAATAATTTAGGTGCCTCATTATTTTATTTAAAAAGATATGATGAAGCCAATAAGATATTTGATTAAGCTATTCAATAGAATGATCAATTAATGGAAGCATTAGTTAATAAGGCTAATGTACTAATTGCATAAGAAAATTTAACAGAAGCCAACAAATTATTACAAAAGGCTAGTCAAATAAAAGACTCTCCTTATATTCATAATGCTTATGGAATTATTGCTTAAAAGTAGAAGTAAACAGATAAAGCTATTTCCTCTTATTAAATGGCTCTTCAAATGTTACCAACTTTCCCTTAATGTTTATCAAATCAAGCTACACTTCTTATTGAAACTGAGAAATATTCATAAGCATTAGATTTACTTAAATAAGCTTTAAAGACTGATTAAAATAATGCTGAAGCTCATAATAATTTAGGTGTATTGTATTACAAATAGAATAAACTTGAATTATCATAAAATGAATATATGGAAGCTATTAAATTGAAAGTTCATAATCCTGAAGCTCATTCAAATTAGGGAGTGATTTTCTGTGCCAAATAAGATTACTCATAAGCATTATAATGTTTTGATGAAGCTATAAAATTGAAGAGTGATTTTGTGAAAGCTTATCATAATAAGGGAACAACTTTGTATGAGAAAGAGAACTTTAAAGAGGCTGTTGAGATTTATGATAAAGCTATTAAGGGTAAGACTTAAGATCCAGAGACTTATTATAATAAAAGTATAGCTTTGTAAGGTTTAGAGTAGTTTGATGATGCTTTAAATGCTTTAGAATAAGCTTATAAATTAGCTCCTGAAATGGCATTATTATATGTTGAGAAAGTACTTTTTTCTATTTATTTTAGGGAACTCTGATGTATAGGAAAGGTAAGGTTGATGAAGCAATTAAAAACTATGATATGGCTATTCAATTACAACCTAATTGTGCTGAGGCTTACTACAATAAAGGATGTGCTTTGGAAAATCAAGGGAAGATTGATGAGTCAAACAAAAATTATGAAAAGGCTTTTCAAATTAAACCAACTTTAGTAGAAAAAAAGAAATGATATATATGGAATTATTATTATATTATATTATTAATGTTGTCAGATAAAAATATTTTAATTGTTTAAAGTAAATTATTAAATGGATATAAAATTTATATAAATTTAACAATCAGATATAAAGATTTATAAATCATTATTTAATCAATTAATGTAAATAATATTTAGTTATTTTAAAATATCTAATAAAAATATGAATACATTTCTGTTATTTTAATTTGATTTAATAATATTATAATTAGTTGTTGAAAAGAGATTAGGATTTTAATAAAATGAATTTATTTAATTGATTAATCTAAATACTCATTCTTTGATAATATAAATAATAATTATTTACAAAAAATAGAATCATTTATTAAAATATATCATAAACAATAAAATCCTACTAAAGATTTAAGCCAATGAATATGTGCCCAAAGTCTACTAATATCCATATTCTTTTAATAAGCAATTTCTTAAACTGTATATGGTTTTCCTAAAAATTTAAGAAGTGATTAATAGAATCGATATAATTAAGTGAATTTCTTTTCTCTTTCTCCTTATTTATCTTTACTCTTTATTAATTCAGCAGCAATTTTATTAATTTCATCTTCTACTTTCTTTAAAGTTAATGTAGGATCTTTTTAATATAAATAAACTTGGCATTCACGTATTAATCTAAATCCAATTATATTACAAAATTAACTTTCTATTTTTTCTATTCTATCTTATCTTAATTATTAAGAACTCATTGGACATTTAATGAATGAAACATATTATTTTAATGGAATTTTCTCTGCTAATTTTTTATGAGTTTATGTGCATGCTATAGTAAAATAAGAGTCATCTGTTAATTTATTGAGAAGTAAACTCATTTGATTTTAATTGTTCATCATAATATGATTAACATAGACTTGAATTTCAGTCATTGAAAAATAGTATAAATTAGACATTTCTTGAAATGATTTTGTGGGTTACATTTTTTAAATGAAAGTCAAGAATCTTTATGATATATAAGTATTATCATCTTTTCCAATAAAATTAGCAACCAATAAGGTTTAATATGGTTTAATTACTATGGCTATAGGATTTAACATTAAATCTTATTATGGAGGTGTCATTTATATCTAATTATATATATATATATAGTGATTTATACTTAAAAGAAATTAATCATTTTTCTATTTACAAATGCTTAACAAAATTAATTTAAATTTCTTCTTAATTCACATGAATCCAAATATTTTCTAGCAATATTAGTCACATTATCCCTAACTTAAATAGATTTACATTTCTATTTCTCATATTCTGGAATTTATGCATTAATCTCTTTCTCAAATTAACTTATCTAATGTTATATACTATCTTATTACATTTTGAATTATAAGATTTGACATTCTAGTTAAAGCTTTGGATTCTTTTTCAATTTTTTATAAACATTTCTTTATAAAAGTTAAACAATATGAAGCATATTAAGAATTGTACTAACTTTCCTTCTATATGACCAATACTAAAGTAATTGATACAGGCTCTTTAATAGTTTGAATATAGAATATCAAATCTTCTATCATTAATTCATGACATTATGCTTTTCTTTCTTATGAGAAAAAATCAATGATGAAGTTAGTTGAATAACCAAGAAAATTGGTTTTTTGTATGAGTCCAACTATTCTAAATTGAATATTGATTTACAATATTAAAATTGCTAAAAGAATTGTGTAATTTTATCTCTATATGTAACTATGTCAGAATTCTCTCCATCTCTTATATTAAATACTTAATCCAAATTAAATTACTCTTCACTTGCATACAATATTTTACGATCTTCATCTCTTGTCTTAATTATTGCAAAAAGAGATTTCATTACTAATAATAATTTTATATAATGGAATAGAGATGGGAAATGTATATATACTATTTAAATAAAATTGATTAGATTAAGAACTCTGAGTACCAAAATTAAAAAAATACTCAACAAAGCATAAGATCAATTTCAAGAAAGACATTCAAATATTTAACAAGGTTACATAACAGATTTAAGATAATATTGTAGAATAGTGACTGCTTGTGAAGAACAATTGATTCTAAATTTGAGTGATTATAACTTAGAGTTTATTGGTGATCTTATAAAAGTAAACAATAGATTTATAAATAAAACAGACATTATCAGGATTTCATTTATTATTGATATCAAATCTCTTAAATTGGATCTAATAATTTGAATTATTATTAACACCTCATTAAGGTAATCTACCTTTTGAACATCTTCTTGAATAAAGTAGATAACATTAAAATAGATTTAATAATATTAATGAAAGTGATGCAGCCAAACATATTAATGAATTACATGAATCTATTTAATCTCTTGCCTAAAATAATAAATAGATAATTGATAGTCACAATACTGATATTTAAAATCCAAATTCTGTTGATATTATAGATTCAGTAACTTAATAACTTCGTGATAATATTAGAAGTAATTCAAAATCCAATTCTAAAATGATCTTAAAAAAGTTATTATCTAATTAAAAGAATAAAAATATTCTCATTGATCAAGAATAACAAACTATATTAAATTATTAAGAGGTTGATTACATAGAATAATAAAATTATGAATTAAGAGTACTTATTGATAGAATCATCAAATAGTATGAGGATAAATTAAAATAATCTATAATATAATATAAAGAAACCAAATTAATTCTCAAAGCCTAAAAGATTGAACTAGAACATTAAAGTAATTTAATTGAGGCATAGAATGAATTATTTAAATAATATTAAGACAAAAAACCATAATAAACTCTTACTCATTTTATACAAATTCCTACTATTGCTGATAGAAATAAAAGATCATTATTTGATAAACAATAGAAATTTATATTTACAAACATGAAATTAAGATCATCATCTTTACCTAAAATTGATGGAAAAGATGAATCTATTTTGAGAAATTCTTTTACTAAAATTGGTGTTTAATTATCTAAGAATTTAATACCAACATAAGATGTTATTGAGAATTTCAAGAAATATTAATAATCACATGAATTTAAAGAAAGAATATTTAAAGTTTGTTAATAAGTTCAAATTAAGATACCAACAGATTAATTATAGAATGAGTCTATTTCTCATTAAAATAGAGTTATGACTTTCTCAAAACTTTGTNTATTGTAGAATAGTGACTGCTTGTGAAGAACAATTGATTCTAAATTTGAGTGATTATAACTTAGAGTTTATTGGTGATCTTATAAAAGTAAACAATAGATTTATAAATAAAACAGACATTATCAGGATTTCATTTATTATTGATATCAAATCTCTTAAATTGGATCTAATAATTTGAATTATTATTAACACCTCATTAAGGTAATCTACCTTTTGAACATCTTCTTGAATAAAGTAGATAACATTAAAATAGATTTAATAATATTAATGAAAGTGATGCAGCCAAACATATTAATGAATTACATGAATCTATTTAATCTCTTGCCTAAAATAATAAATAGATAATTGATAGTCACAATACTGATATTTAAAATCCAAATTCTGTTGATATTATAGATTCAGTAACTTAATAACTTCGTGATAATATTAGAAGTAATTCAAAATCCAATTCTAAAATGATCTTAAAAAAGTTATTATCTAATTAAAAGAATAAAAATATTCTCATTGATCAAGAATAACAAACTATATTAAATTATTAAGAGGTTGATTACATAGAATAATAAAATTATGAATTAAGAGTACTTATTGATAGAATCATCAAATAGTATGAGGATAAATTAAAATAATCTATAATATAATATAAAGAAACCAAATTAATTCTCAAAGCCTAAAAGATTGAACTAGAACATTAAAGTAATTTAATTGAGGCATAGAATGAATTATTTAAATAATATTAAGACAAAAAACCATAATAAACTCTTACTCATTTTATACAAATTCCTACTATTGCTGATAGAAATAAAAGATCATTATTTGATAAACAATAGAAATTTATATTTACAAACATGAAATTAAGATCATCATCTTTACCTAAAATTGATGGAAAAGATGAATCTATTTTGAGAAATTCTTTTACTAAAATTGGTGTTTAATTATCTAAGAATTTAATACCAACATAAGATGTTATTGAGAATTTCAAGAAATATTAATAATCACATGAATTTAAAGAAAGAATATTTAAAGTTTGTTAATAAGTTCAAATTAAGATACCAACAGATTAATTATAGAATGAGTCTATTTCTCATTAAAATAGAGTTATGACTTTCTCAAAACTTTGTTAAGTTCTTAAAGAAAAGCATTAATTGTGTTTTCCTTAATGTGATCATCTTAATTTTTTAATATGAAATTAAAATAAATTAAATCAATTTTATTATTTAAATATTATTTATTCTTTTAAATTTTTTGTATGAAATATTATAAAATATACTATTATCTTAATCTAATTTAATTGTTGATTAGATAATTATGAATATTGAAAAAATAATGAAATGAAATTATGAAAGATTTATACAATTTTAAATATTAGAAGATTATTTTGAATTATAAATATTATTGATTTTATTAAAATATTAAAATGTGTATAATTTTGAAATTATTTATAAATTTTTGATTAAAAAGAGAATGCTTTAAATTAGTAATATAAAAGATCGCTTAAAATGCAAGATAGATTTTAGTGAGAATGAAGAAGAGAAAGGAGAAATTATTAGTATGAGTAGTGTTGATGATGCTATAAGATTTGAAGATAGGTATGAAACACAAGAATTATTGGGTATATATTGAATATGTAAAAGTTAAGGATAAGGAGCACATGCAGTAGTAAAACTAGCTAAAAAAAAGGGAACAAATGATTTATTTGCAGTAAAAATAATGAGAATGAACAATGAAGAGATTTACAATAATGTGAAAAGAACATTTAATAATTCACGTTGTTTAAGACATTAGAATATAATATAAGAATACGAACTTTATATTAATGAAAAATATTACACTGCAAGTTTAGTAATGGAATATTGTTCATACCCATCATTAGAATAAATCCTAAAAGATAGAGTAACTTTAAAAGAGGATGAGGTAAGAAACATTATTAAGTAATTGCTTATGGCAGTATAACACATACATAGTAAAGGAATAAGTCATAGAGATATTAAACCAGATAACATTTTAGTAAATGTAGAAGGTAATTGTGAATTGAAATTACTTGATTTTGGAGTATCAAGAAGATTTCTATAGAAGAATCAACATAATGATATGTTAACTAAGACAGGAAATATATATTATTGTGCTCCTGAAATATATCATTAAAGTAATTATTCAAAAGAAATTGATTTATGGAGTATTGGAGTTATAATGTATTAATGTATGACAGGAGAATTACCTTTATAGAATGAAAATATTAGTGATCATATTGATTTATTAGGTAAACCTGATTTATGGAATTTTAAGAATCGTATAAAATGTGAATCTTTAAGTGCTCAGAATTTAATATCTCGTTTATTATAATAGGATCCAAAAAAAAGGATTGGATCTCAAGATGCATTGAATCATCCTTTTATTGAGAAAAATAAGATTTATACTACTTTAGCAATGTTATCATCAACAAAAATGATTGATGATGATGATGATAATATATTTTTAAATAAATGTCAATCTCTATAAACAAGTTTATCTGTTGATTAGAAATAAAGTATTCATAGAGCATTGAAGACTCTTCATTTAGGTTAAGAATATTAATAAATTATTCTTGAAGATTTGATGTAAGAACTTGGAAATATACATATAATTTAAAAGAGAAATAGTGATAAATGTACTGGATTCATTTAATTGGTCAATTCACTTGGAAATAGTTAAGGAGTAACAATTAGTAAAGTTGTTGATATTAATACTAATTCATAATGTAATCTTGGTATTGGTTCTACTTAAAGTATAGGTATTATTTATATTCATATAAATAATAGTATCATCTGATCATCAAACATAAGATTATTTTTGTGAATTGGGTAATATTTAATCAAGTGTTGATTTAGGTAATTCTAATAATGATACTTAAATATATTAAGACAATAAAAAAAATACTTTAGGTTAATTTATTAATTAAATGGGTGCCAAAATTGAATGCAGTATTGATATTAATTTAAATATGGCTGAAAACTAGTAAGATACTGGATTAAATAATAAATTTAATTAAATTATATCTACTCTTGATGTCTTAGGCATTAAAGAATGTGATGAAACTGTAGAAGATTAATAATGAAATGTATTATAACTTCATTTTTGTTTATATTATCTATTACTAATATTATTATTATATATAATATATCATTTAATTTATATATATTCAATAGAATACTCCCAATTGTTATCTGTAGTTAAAAAATGATATAAAAATAATTTATTAGCAAATGGATTTCAAGACTCGCTTCTAAGGAAGAACTTCAATAATGAATAAAAATGGTGTTCTGGGTATTCTATAGAATACATCTCAACCTATCAAAAAACAATTCGATTCTTAAAATATATAAACAAACACTAATACCAATCTTATTGCACAATCATACTATTTTCAGAAATTCCAAAAAAATGCTGAGACTATTCTATAATAATAAACAGATTATGATATGACTCCATCAACACTTTCAGGATATCCATCTCATAGATTTTTACAAGATCTTCAAAAAATTAATTTAGATCAATATTAAATTGTAGCAATACCTAAAAGAACTTATGATGATCCTAAATATATGCTTACACAACCTGTTGCACCAATTTTAAATAATATGATGAATAATCATACATTTTAAAATGATTAGATATCCTCACTGGTCAAAAAAACCATCCCATAAGAGAATTATCCTCCTAAAAAAAAGAACTTGAATCTAAATTAGATTACAAATCCATTTATTTAAGCTGGATATGGAGCTCTAAAATAAAAAAAAATTAAATTTTTGACGGATAGATAGATGAATATATAACTAAAATGATTAAAAATCAAACTTAATAATTATTTATCGCTATAAAGTATTTAATTTTATATCATTATGATTTTATTTAGATGATATAAGTATAAAGATTATAGAATCATCTATTATGAAATTATATTACTCAATGAAATTTTGTTACTTAATATATATTTATATCACAAATATAATTTATGTTAAGAAAATTACTTCGATTCTAATTCTGCTCTCTTTAAGATCAAATCAGAAAATAATAGAATTCTTATAGCAATATTACTGATAAAATTATATAATATGTTGGTAGAGATTTACATAAAATTCCATCACATCCTCTAGGAATAATTAAGAATAGAATTGAAACATTTTTTCAAAATGATGCAATAACAGAGAAGTAAAGTAAATATCCTTTGAAATACAAAATCATCGATAATCTTTCACCAATAGTATCAGTAAAGTAGGTATATATATATATATAATTACATAGAATTTTGATTCATTATTAGTGCCTCCTGATCATCCAAGTAGAAAAAAAAGTGACACTTATTATATAAATGAGAATGCTTTATTAAGATGTCACACTTCTGCACATTAAGTTGAATTAATAGAAAATAATATTGATGCTTTTGTAGTTATTGGAGATGTTTATAGAAGAGATGAAATAGATGCAACGCATTATCCAGTCTTTCATTAAGTAGAAATTGTAAGAATCTTTTAATAAGATTAATTCTCATCTAAATATTTATAACACTAAATATAAGAATCTATGGATGATTTAAAAGAAACTCTAGAAAGATTGACTAAACATTTATTTGGCGATGTATAAATGAGATGGGTTGAAACTACATTTCCATTTACTAATCCTTCTATGGAATTAGAAATTTATTTTTAAGATAAATGGTTAGAGGTACTAGGATGTGGAGTTATTCATTAAGATTTAATGAAAAACTGTTAAGTATATATTTCTATCTATCCAGAGACTCACTGAAGTTGGATGGGCAGCTGGTTTAGGATTAGAAAGATTAGCACTTCTCTTATTCTAAATCCCAGATATTCGTTTATTTTGGTCTTAAGATCCAAGATTTCTAGAATAATTTAAAGCTGGTCAAATAAATAAATTTTAACCATTCAGCAAATATCCTAGTTGTTACAAAGATGTTTCTTTTTATGTTGATCATAAAACATGGGAAGAAAATGATTTACATTCAATTATTAGAGATATTGGAGGGGATCTAATTGAAAAAGTTGAATGTGTAGATACATTTTACAATAAAAAAAAAGATCTTACAAGCAAATGTTATAGAATTCATTATAGAAGTTTAGAAAGAACACTTTAAAACGAAGAAATTGATGTCTTGTAATTTAAAATAAGAGATTAAATCAAAGATATTTTAAAATTAGAGTTAAGATGAATTATTTTTTATAAATTATATATATATATATATATTAATAAATTCTTAATAATCTGAGAGAGTGAGATCTTCAAAGTAAATTAATTTAATAGGATAACAATAAGTAAATTTATTGATATTTGATTGTCCAATTAAGCTTAAATGAAATAAAAATTATAAGATGTTAAGTAATTTAATTATATTTATACTGTAGTAATGATAATATTCTGAATTCATTTAATTAAGATTAAACAATTCATAAACGGTATTATTAGCATTGATCAATATACATTCAATAATACATCTAGTATTAAATTTAATCTCTACTAATAAAGTATAAAATTAAAATATGAATAATTATTTCATCTAATTAGTAATCATTAAACATCAGAATTGATACACTGATTTCTCATTTTTTTAAAACAATAAGATAGAAAATTCTTTTTAACTAAAATTAAATTCTTATATATTACCTCATTAATTTCATAAGAACCTTAATATTGTAATTGAGCAATTAATAAAAAAGGGAAACTTTATTTCAGATTAATTCGGTATTCTTAATTTTTATTAAATCAATATCTAATAAATATTTGAATAATATATATAAAAGATAGATATTATAGTTTTTTCAATAATATCTATATTGAAAAATGAATTCCTAACTTGATGATGGTAGCAAAAATTCTTTATTAAAATAGTATTACATAAAAAGAAATTTACAAAAATTGCCAAAAATTCTCCAAAATCCAATCAAGATGAATGTTTAGAGCCACCATCATTTTTTGAAAGTTTTTTTCTTGATAATTCTGGTTAATCAAGCAAATAGTAGACACCTAATATTTAGGATCAAATCAATCAGGTTTTAAATGAAAATTGTAATCAATGGGCTGATATTTATGAGTAAAGAAAGGCTTAGAAAATAATGTACAGCAAAAATAAACTAACAAAAAATAATTAGGAAATTTAATCTGCCACTAAAATTGCATTACTAATTAATTGTGTTATAACATTTTGGAACAATATATTTAAAGCTTTATTGGCAGTTTTATTCCCTCATCTTATTCTCTTAGAAGAGGATGAGAGCATTAATAATTTATCTTAATTTTTATTATTTTATATTCTAACCATTACTTTAACTTATACCTTTTGTTTATGTATACAAATAAAGTAAACAGAGAATTTGTCAAATTTATGTAATTTTAAACTTATTAATGACTTTACAATAAGAAATATATTAATCATAGGATTACTTTTGATTCTTATTTTTTTGAATACATAAATCATAGTAATAATTTTGTCCTTTTATTTTTTTTATGAAGGCTATAATCATATTGAAATGTTTTTTAAATTACTCATAATTAAAAAAAGTATAATAATCTAATAAATTTTAGAAAAGTATTTTAACTATCTGGCCATTTCAAAGATAATAGTTTATTATCTATATTTAATTCATCTATTTAGTTGCATATTATACTAAAATGATTATTAACTTAGATATAGGGATTCATTATTTATAAATATCAATTTTTTCACTTTTCAAACAAATTATTATGTAACTGAATCAACATCTAATTTAACTATGATATTTAGTTAGATTGTAGGATTAATTATGTTATTTAAAACTATTGATGTTATAATATAGATTAGAATAAATAATATAGAATTGTAAAATAAACCTAAAATAAATGTGCATATTCTACATTATTATATTTGGCATCACAATGGAAATCTAATTGAAAAGTTTAAGATGTTTACTTAATTAAATAATAGTAGTTTACTAAAAAAATAAGTAATTATAATAAATATTATAGATATGTTAAAATATTATGAGAATCATCTTTCAATAAATATTAGAAGATTATTTAGAAGTTTCTCATTTTTTTACAAAACAATTTATAATAAACTTATCAGATAAAGTTAAAGTCTTGAGAAAAGGTAATGAATTAGATGTTAACGAAAATTGTGGATTGTATTTAATTTTAAGGGGATAAGGATAAATTAGTTATAAAAAGGAAGGATTAAGATAATATGAATAAAATACGATTGAGAAGGTGTTTGGATTGATTGATTGCTTTTAAAAGAACATCTCAGATTTAAAAATAAGTAAATTTATTAATTGAATTTAGAATTTAATAATAATTTCTTAGTTTTGTTTGTAAAAGATGAAGATTTTAAAGCATGTTTGAATTCAAATTAAGATATAGTAAATAACTTATATATATAATAGGAAACATTCCATATGATATAAAATAAAATATTTTTTGAAGGAGATACATTTTAGGTCAATTATAGATGTCTTATTTGTAGAGGATTTCATTTAATGAGAAGATGTCAAGTTTAATAAGATGTTTACAAATTGATTTTAAAAGATTATCATTAATAGAATAATAGAAGGAAAATGTAAAGAAGATTGAAAAGGAGACCATATGCTTATGAAATCTTTGTAGTAAATGTATTATAAATAATTTGAAGAAAAAAAGAAAGTAATTGATAAATATAACTGCTCATTCTGAAGTTGAAAGTAGTGAAAGTAGCAGTAATAATGAATAATTTCAGATATATCAAGATGATGCTAGTGAAAGTTTAAAGTTTATTGATAGAAATATGATACTTGGAAATAGTAAAGGAACTATAACTATACCTACAATTTCAAAGGAGTAATAAGGTGATTTCATTTCAGATAAGATATTATTAGATCAATTGAAATCAAGTCGTAAAAAAATCTCCATTTAACCTTCAATACAACCTAGTAGTTAATAATTTGGTGATGGTTTAAGAACAGATTATAGAAGTTAATAATTATTTCCTTCAGTATTCAAATTTTAAGATATTGTACCCATAGATGACATTGATACAATAAGAGAATATGTATATTTCTATCCAGAATTCAACATTAGCTCTATAATTTCGATGTTACAAAAGTGATACTATATTTTAATTTTAATTACTAATAATAATGTAATAATAAAAGAAATCTCAACCTCCCGCTGTTTTAAATAGAACAAGATCTCTTGGAAAGCAATAATAATAAAAGCCATAATAATAATAATAATAATAATAATAACAATAACCTAAATAAGGTTTTACTTAGCTTCCAAGTTAAAAGTTAACAAGTATTAAAACAGTTGATCCTTTCTCTGACAAATCTAAATAAAAAACGTAGAAATATATTAAAAATAAAGAAATTCATTTGCTTATGTTTATAATGCAGGTGGAATACCATGTAGAGTTAATCATGGTTGTAATACTATGAAATTATAATGGAATTAAGGAGTTGAAATTAGTCATTTACCTTATGATCCATTAATGGTAACATGTTTTGAAGGATTGATTGAAGAAGCACATCCATATTGTTTAATTGCCACTAATGCTATAAAAGATATGCTCAATGAATAAGTTTTAAATTTAAATTTTATAATCTTTTAGAATGCTCAAGAAAAAGTCATACCTATTCTAACAAAATTAGTTTGGCCTTTAAGAACTGCCTTATCTAGTTAAAATGATAAAGTTTTTATGTCTTCTTTGGAAATTTTAAAGTAAGTCTTATTATGACTGAATTCAGATTACTCTCCAATACTGTAGGTTCTCATCTTAATACTCATCTTAAAAATCTCCTAGTTCCATTGAGTAAAAGAATGGATAAAAAGAATTAGAAGGAAATTATACAAGATGTTTTAAGATAAATACAAGATAATGGGGTACTGATATTATATCATTATATAAAAGGGACCAGAAACATTGAAATTAATCAAAGTAGCTATTCCTACTTATACAAATATGTGAGAATTTTATTAAATATATAATTTATATTCAATTATGAAAGCACATGATGGTCTTATATTAATTTAGAAATATACATCAGAAGATGATTGTTTATTTTGTGAGAAATATGGGAGATTACCAATAATAAAGATTAATTTTGCTCCACTATTGAATAGAGTATATAAAATTGTAAAATGATTTACAGGCACTTTATACAAAATATTCATAATCCTCATGGCAAGGTAAAAAATTTGAAGATTTCTTTTCAACTAAGTCAATCTAATGGATTATCTAATTTAAAGATAAATTAGTATATGGTGACCAAGATGAATTTTTAAAGAGGTATTTTTAATCAAAATTTCATTTATATAGATATTATCCATATAGAGATCACCAAGGTAAATTTGATCAACTCTTAGAATATTACAAATACCATAAAGATATTCCAAGAATGTTTATACCATAACTCTCAGATTTAGCTATCTTTTATTATGAAAAAAAGAAGTATTTTTATATCTGTATCTAATTTTAGACAATTAGAGTATAGGAAAATTAAAATTATGTTAGGTATTCCAATTGAAGATGATAGCAATTGCACAGGTATTTATTTTTAATATATCAAGAATATGAGAAATTAAAGGAAGAAATCAAAGTTCTCAACAGTATTACATAATAATCTGAAGTATCCAGTCTTTCTTTATTAAGAGACTTGTTAAAATCAAAAGGAAATGAAGAAATTATGGTATTTGATCCTCCAATTATTAGAATATTGATGCTACTTGGATTACTATGGTAAACAATCAATAACTTAAAACTCCATAATAGCCATCCAATTTAAAATTACTAAAATAGTTGATATCCAAAAATACTTAATTTTACAAAGATAAATTGCATACTAAAGCTAATGGATTAAGTAAAAGAACTATTTAAAATTCACCTTAATAAAAAGTTCATTTCAAAACACTTTCAAAAGATACTTCATAAAAGTCTTTACCCTCTTCTAACAAAATAATAAATAATAGTAATGGAGATAGTGAATTTAAGAAGTTCTTAAAATAATAAATGGTTGTAATCAATCATTCTAATCCTTGTAATTAGAATAATGTGAAATAATAAGCCAAACCTATATAAATATCTAATTATCAATCAAAATAAAATAGTATTCATTAGATTATGAGTACAAGAAGTATCTCATCTGAATAATTAAAATTAATTTAATCCTAATAAATCCTTAAACCCAATCACTCTAATAAAATTAATTATTAATCTAAACATAAAAAAAGTTAAACTTAAACTCATTATACTGAAATCAATTCTCCAAATAAACACACAAAATAACCATCAAATAACATGCATACAAATATAGGAATTGAATTTAAATAAGCCTTAAGTCATACAAAATCAACAGATAAATTATTTAAAGTGTATACTTCGTAATCATCAATTCCTTTATCTGCAAACATAAATATAAACATTGATTAGTTAAATATGAATAATCTCAATATCAAATCTTCATTTTAACAATACAAGGCTATGCTCGAAAGTCCAAAAATTAATACCAAAAAGAAGACTCAATCGAATGTTGAAACCTAAAGAGTCAACAATAATAGTGGCTAAAAAAGTAATGTTTCTTTAAAAAAATCATAACTCTCAGTTTAATAATTATATGCTTAAAAAATCATATCAAAGAATAGGATTTCTTAAAAATGAATTCTTTAAATTAATTTAATATAATTTATATTATCATATATCTATAAGTTTATAGTTATATAATAACATAACTAATTTATAAAATTAAATATCGTTTATATAAAATAAAGTAACTATCAGTATAACAAGTCTGACTTATAAAATCGATAAACTAAGATAGTATTATCAATGAAATTATACAATATATCATTAAATATTTTCTATTTATGCAATTATTTTGAAATTGATATATCTACTGTTTAGTCAATTAATACAAATTTCTAGTTTCTATAGATTCCATTAATTTTTATTATTTTTTTGAATAAAATTCTACAATTATAATAATTTTAGTAAAGATTGATAATTAATTATATGATGCTTTGTAAAAATTTAATTTAAAGATTCTCTATTTTTTAGAATCAATAAAAATTATTATTGATACATTTTATTATATCATTGTTTATTTATAAATAAAATTAAGTTACATTAATAAAATCTTTAAGATCAATGTGAAAGTATCATAAATAATATCTTAGATGTATTTCTATATTAAAATTTTCAAGATTTGACACTATCTATATAATCAATTATACATGGTAGAATTTAGTTATTTTTTTGAGATTAGATTGGTTGTTATTTCTAGTAGAATTATCCAATAATCCTGAAACAATTTATTTATGAATATCCAAACACAAATAAATTTATAAAAATTCTAGATATATAAAGATAATAAATAAAAAATGAATTTTAATCCTAATTTAAATATATGGATATTAGATTTAATAAAACATTTAGTAATGTTTCATATTATTACTTAGAATTATAAAGAGTATTAATATTCTTTTGTCTTATGTCTTCAGCATTTAATTTTGATTATAATTATGAATAGTATTTAAAAAAATAAGAGATGATTTAGAATTTACTTATAAAATTATTTATATATATATATACCAAGAATATAATTAAAAAATGGGATAATCAGGCTCAAAGAAAGAGATTGAAGGCAATATTTTAATCATATTAGAGAGAAAGAACTATTTTTGTGGTGAATTTATAAAAGGAAGTGTTTCCTATTCTGTTTAAGATTCTGAAATTAAAGCTTTCCTTTAACTTATATGTGTGGCTGAGAGATATGTTAAAAAGAAGAGGTTGTATTAAGAAAAGTTGATTGAATAGACTCTAATGTTGAGTTAGCCAAATGAAAAAGGCGTTTTGGAGAAACCCTTTTCAATAATGACTCCATAATTGTAGAGTATGGAATTAAATACATGGAATAAAGATGAATAGATTTATATAAAATATTTTTTAAGAAGTTATCTAAATTTTGAGAATCATAATTTAAAGGATAAGTAAAAGAAAATCAGTGAGGAACAAATATTCATTAAGAGAACTTATCAAAACAAAATAGAAAATATTATAAAACAGTTTTCATATGTTACAAGATCATGGTTTTTAGGTGATGATTAAGTACAATAAATATATTAAATAATTAATAGAGAATTGAGTTCTGGTATGACTTTGAAAATAAAAATTTTAGATCAAATGAAAGATTTAGCTTTTGGTTAGGAGTAGACAATAGACATACAACAATAAATATTGAAAGCATAAAAGCTTATTTAGTTTTTGAAATATTAGAGTTTTAAGTTTATTGGAAATTAATAGAGAGAAGAGTTTTATCATGTTTAGATGAAAGAATAAAGGTTCCTTTTGGAATTTAAAATACTTTCTAAATAAATCTTATAATACCAAGTAATAGTCCTACTGCAATCTTATCTAAAAAGATAATGATGTTTTATCATGTTGAGATAGAATTTGAATTTGAATATATGGGATGTAGAAGATAATCATACATAGAAAAGATTTTGATAGATGTAGTAAATTGTGAAAATTAATGATATTCATTTCCAAACTGGTTTACTATTAATTATTGATTAAATAATGCTTTCATCATTTTTAATTTATCCAGGAGATGGATATCTCCATCCCTTATTTTTACTAGTAGCAATAAGTTAATTAGCTTTTGGGATAGCATTACCTTTAAATTATGAGAAATCTCAAATACCTTTGACCAATGGAGAATATTATCTATAGGCTAATCCAGTAGTTGGTTTAGGCAAATTAGGCATAAGTTATAGTTCAGGCTAACTAGAATAAAATAAAGATTTTACGCATAAGCTGATTTTGGTCTTTCACTTAGATCTCTTTTCTATTATTTCATTGATTATGATTTCCCTTATAACTTTTCTTTTTATTCCTAATGTTTTTTTAGACTATCATTTTATTATCTCTTAATTGTTCCACTACTTGGTTTAATAAGAGACATTTAGGTAGAGTCTCTTGAATTTAAACTAGTAATACACTTTTCTTATTCTTCTTTTAAAGTTAAATAATTATTAACTGTTACATGATAAACATTTCCATTAATATTATTTTAATTATTTAATTTAACTGTTGGTTTAGTAGTATTCTATTTCATTTTCTTTTGAGATTTTTTAATTAATGTTTCATCTGCCCATGAAATTGTTTTGGGTCTATTTTCATTTAAATATTAATTAAATAATCTTCTATCTAACCAACAAGAGTCAACATTACTTGATTTTGAATTCTAAAACGTATTACGTAATAATTTTTCATCTTCATCAAGTGGGAGATCAACTTCTTCATGAGGCTACCAAGAACTGGATAATCCTCCTTCACCTCTCTTACTCAATTTAGATTCTAATTGTGTTAATTAGTGATAAAATCTAGCCCTTATCTCTAAATCAGGTCTTCTAGTATTTAAGAACTCTAAAGTTTTATATAGTTTCCATTTATATTTTTTCATAAAAAATGCTGCTAATGCACAACATGATCTTGATTAACCTCTAACTGAATGTACTAACACAGATTCACCATTTTAATGTGCTTATTCTATAAATTGATATATTTCATTCACATTTTCATTTTGAAATAACACTTACTGATTCAATAAAATTGATATATACCTGCTCATTTTCTTACCAATTAAATTTTAGATATGATATTCCATAGTTTTCGAATACACAAGGTAATTATTTAGCAGCACAATTTATTATATGACTGACTTTATTTTATATGACAAATTCAAGATCCTTTAATAATTAATTAGATAAAATTACTTTAGATGCAAATTCATCACCAATAAAAAGTCCATCCTTAATTTTAATTGCTCCTATTATCATTTAATTTATTATAAATTATTTGAAATTTGAATGATGGAAAAAATGCCTAAATTACATGAAATTCACAAAGAATTACAATATTATACTCGATATTTTTCAGAAAACAAACTCTATTAATCTAGTAAATGGACAGGTGAATTACTTTTAGGTTTAACATAAGAAGAAGATTTATAATAATCTAACTTTGCTTTGTAATTCATTCAAAACAACACAGATTATAAATATTAATTTTTAAGAGAGTTTATACCTGAAAATAATGATATTATTTGTGTTGCAAGAAATTTATTTGATTTAAGAGAGTTTAAAAAATGTGCTTCATTATTATAGAGTTTAATACACAAAAATGAATCAGCCATGTTTTTATATTATTATTCATAATACATGTATGGAGAGTTACGTAAAGAGGAAGAAATGTTTGAAAATGAGAATTCTAAAACAGCCATCAATCCAGAATTAAAATTATTAGATAGAGAATTATCAAAATTATATGAACAAAAATAATTATCTTAGGTATAGCTCTAAAGTTTTAGTTTAGTTAAATCTCTATCTTTATGGATTAATTCTTAAAGATACATTAAGACTTCGTGAAGCCAGAGATGTATTCATATAAGTATTAAATTAATTGCCATGTTTTTGGAGTGTTTGGTTAGAATTATGCAAATTATTAACTGAAGAAGATTCAATCAATGAATTACCTAATCATTGGATGAAATTCTTTTGGATTTCTAATTTTAATTTAGAAAAATTTAAGAATGCTAATTGTGTTGAATCCTTTTAATTATTACTTTATTATTTTAGAAACTCTAATTTCATTATTAATTAAATAGCAAATGCTTATTATAATAATTAAGAATTCGAATTATCATTAGAATGGTTTGAAAGACTATTAAGTATTGATCCATATAGATATGAGAGTTTAGATACATATTCAAATATTTTGTATATTAAAGAAAACTAAGGAGAATTGGCAAATCTTGCATTATAATCTTTTACTAATAATAAATATGTACCTGAAACTTGTTGTGTAGTTGGAAATTATTATTCATTAATGAATGAACATGCAAAAGCTATAAGTTATTTTTAAAGAGCTTTAAAATTAGATAAAGATTGTTTAGCCGCATGGACACTTATGGGTCATGAGTATTTAGAAATGAAGAATGTTGCTTCAGCTATATAATCATATCGAAATGCTGTTGAAATTGATCCAAAAGATTTTAGAGCTTGGTATGGATTAGGTTAAACATATGCTTTATAAGGAATGAATTAATATGCTCTTTATTATTTTAGTAGAGCAGTGATTAGTAGACCTAAAGATTCTAGAATGTGGAATGCTATGGCAGAATGTTATGATAAAATGGATAAAAAGAATGAGTCTATGAAATGTTATGAAAGAGCTAATTCATGTAAAGATAAAGAAGGAATTGCTATACATCAATTAGCAAAATTATATGATGCAATTGTAATATGATAATATCTAAATGTAAGGGTAAAGAGGATAAGGCTTAATAAGCATTTGAAGAAAGTTTGAAAAGAAAAGATGAAGAATAAGTAGTTGATAAAGAAGTATCTGAAGCTTTATTGTATTTGGCAAAGATATTCTTAAAGAAAAACGATAAAGAAAGAGCTATGTAAATGGCAAAACGACTTTATGATTTTAATGGACCTGAAAGGGATGAAGCAAATTTGATTATGAATTAATTGAATAAATGATAAATTCTGTGTATATGTTTTAAATATTCACTTTATATTATTTAAATTTTTAGATTAATCTAATTTTACTTATTAACTAAGAATTATTAATGTTTTAACAAGAATTCAAATTATATAAAATCTATTCCTTTTTGGAGATATATGAAAAAAACTTAAATACAATTATTATAATAATTATTATTATTATTATATGATAAATTCAACAACCTCGAGAATCCGTGATGACAATGAAGATTAAAATCATCGTCTCAAAATTCTTGAAATTAATGCTCATTAATTCTATACTTAATTAAAAGTAACTCATTTAATTATATATCCAAGCCATTATTTGCTGAAAATACTCAATTAAAACAGAATCTTATCGAACTTAATGTTTACATAGAGGAAAGAAAAATGCACCTTTGTAAATATTTATCAGATGTTGGACCCAATGGAGAAGATCTGATTCTTATTAAGGCAGTAGGTGATTTACAATAGATTTGTGATTTAATAGGAGGTATAAATAATAATAGTATTTAGATGAGATTAAAAGACTTAGATCATAAATTGTTACTTAAATTGAAGTTTAGTAATCTAATGAAAAATGTCTCAAAGAAGTTAGATCAGATTTATAAAAGGAAACTGAACGATTCCTAAATGAAAAATAACTCCTTATTAATTAAAATACAATATCTCAATAAGCTCATAAACAAATTATTGAGAATCTTAAATCTAAAATTGATATACTTGTAAATTTAAATTAGTTATATAGTTAATGAAAAATGAAGATCTTTAATCAACATTAATTAGATAATCAGAAGTAGAGAATAAATTGAGAATCAAATATAGATTTTAATTGGAAGATGAGATAAAAACATTGACAAATTAATTAAATAATCTTAAAATAGCAAAACAAGAAGAGGCTGAAAAATATGATTAAGAAAGAAGAATTTATTTAAAATAATTAGAATAATTTAGTGGGAAAATGAAATAAGTAAAATAGGATATTATTGATGAATATGAATATAAAATGGCAACTTAAAAAGTTAAATTTGAAAATTAACTTAAAGTAACAAAATAAGAAATATCTGATTTAAAATATGTAAATACATAATATCTTGATAAATAAAAGTTATGGTAACTACAATAAGAAGTACTGATTGATCAAAAGTATAAATTAGAATTATAAAATAATGATTTAAAAAGTGTTATTTCTATTTTAGAAGAAAAATTAATAATTTAAGAAGAATTAAGCATTTAAGCTTAAAATGAAATTAATCAATAAAAGTATATATTAATATTTATTAGATCTGCTATAAGTGTTCTTAAGTAATCTACTAATCCAAAGAAGAAAAGTGTGACAGGTACTTAAATTTATTCATAATCTCCATAAAAATAATAATCTAAATCATAAACTCCTGTTTTAGAATCAAGACCTTAATCACATTAACTTTGGTAAAAAGCAGCAAATGCTGTTAAAAAGTAATCTAAAGATAATTCAAAAATGACTGATTCTTAAAAATTAACTAATAATAATTAATAATAAGAATAACATTAAAGAATAATTTTAGAAAAAAAAACAAGTTTTTCAAATGATTAAACAAATTTACATAATAATTCAAATACTGAAGATATTAATTAAACTATTTAAATAAGAAAGTTAGGTTCAATATAAGAAATATAATTTGAACATTTTTCATCTGCAACATTATCTTAACGTGGTGATTAAAATTAGAAATTTGTTTAAATAGCTACATAAACAGAAGAATAGATTAATAATTAAGTTCCATCTTCTAGAGGTAGGATTTCATCTATACGAAAGACCAGATAATAATTTGTCTAATAATATTAATTTAATCATGCTGAAACATAATATGAATGTGAATTAAATGATAATGATTATTTCAATTTTAAATTAGAATTACTTGTTTCATAATTATAAAATAAAATTTAAAGTACATAAGCTATGTGTGATTTGAAATTAGAATAAAAAAATTAAGATATTGAAGAATTATAAAATTAATTAAAATCTTAAAAAGTTAATTTTGATTCTCAATATAAATAAATAGAAATTGAAATGAATTTATTACATAATGAAGAATTGGAATCAAAGAATATAACAATTAAAAATTTAAAAGATATTTTTGATTAAAATAATGATAAAATTAAAGAATTAGAAGAAACAATTAAACTATTTGAAATTAATTAAGAAAATATTCATTAAAAATATGAAGATATTCTCAATAAAAAGGATTAAGAAATTAAAGATATTGAAAATAAAATGTAAGAAAATAAATTGATGGCTTAATAAGAATAATCTAGATTATTATAAATTAATTAAAGTTAAAGAGAATAATTTTAATTAGAATTATAAAATCTTTAAAATTAACACACATTAGATGAATAAAAAATATAATAAGAATAAGTGAAATATTTAGAAGAAAAGATAACAATAGAAAAAACAAAATAGGATAATTAATAAATGCTTGAATAAATTTAAAAAAAAGAATTTATTTTAGAAAATTATAAATCTGAACTTATTAAAACAAATGAAGTAGTCAAATATCTTCAATTAGAACTTGAAAATTATAAAAAATTGAATAATATTTTTAAATAAAAAGATGAAAGTGGTTCTTAATTTATTACTCATGGATTTTTATCTTAAGAAGCATAAGAAAGAATTAAATAAAGATTATAAAAGTCAAAAATATCAAAAGATAATCCAAAGTTTGGATTTTAAACAAAAGATGTTTATAGTATGAATTTTTAAATTTAAAGAAAAGAAAGGATGAAACATGCTAAATTAGGAACTTTGAATACAAGTTTTGATGATAAAAGTATCTATTCGTAATTTATTAAAATATATATATTTAGTACTTAAAAAAATGTTTTCAGATTTAAATTGATGGATGATGATAGTTAAGGAATGTTATAAATAAATTCAAGAAGAATGTAATCATAAGATGAAAAAAGCAATAGTGAGATTAAGAAAAAACAAAAATAATATAAATAAAATCAAAGAGCAAGTTTATAATTTATTTATTCTCAATAGAAACTTAAATAGGTGATTATTCAGAATCAAAATTACTTATTTAAGATATTTTCGAAAAGGAGATAACTGTACTTAATAGAAGTAATTAGCTTTTAAGCCAATTAAATGATTAACAAACTAAGTTTAAGAGTGTTCATAGCACGTACAACTCTACAAAAAAGAAATTTATCTAAAATCGTTGAAGTAGTATTATAAACAATTCTCACATTAGTAGGATCTCATTCTTCATAACAACATAAACACCACCATGGTTTTTGATCTGTTTCTTTATTTTTTTTTAAAGGATCCTGTTCTTAACAATTTATTTTCTCATCAAAATTTTCTGTATTCTATATATTGTTATATTATGGATTTATTTTTTCTTCTTCACTTCTTGGTGATATTGGTGATTTACATGATAAGGGATCACTTAAAGATGAAACCATTAAAGAGTTCAACATTATTTAAGTTTGTTTCAAAGCAAAAGATTTAGTCTCTAATTGACGTAATTTTTAATGTTCATCATAAGCTATGAAAATTAGATTTTAATATACGCGGAAGTTCTTCATCTGGTCTTTCATCTTCATCCATTTCATAAAGTTCATATATATTGAAATCATTTAAAAAGAAAAATAATTCCATTTCTGCTCTCTTAAATGTTTAATTGAATTCTCCTATAACCATTTATAAAAATTCTCTGACAGTAATATCAGATGTTACTCTAATAGTTACAATAATTTTTCTATGCAAATTATCTATCCAAGTAACTCTATATGGTATTGAATAGTTTCCTTTTTATTCTTATGTATCAACCTTGCATATTGGATTAATGTTTGCTTTTGATTTCTCTTTAGTACTGATTGGAGCATTATCATCATATACCATTTAAATATCTTCTGTATAATAAAAACTCATCAAATGTCAGATATAAATTATAATGATTATTATCCAAATTTTGTAATATAGCACTTAGATTTACATAATTATTTATTAAGGAGATCTAATAATATTAATAAACCCAATAAAATTTTGAGCAATATTTTATTAAAAATATATATATCTCATTAAAAAAATAATACTTAGACTCAATAATTGCTTGTTATATATTCTTAAATGACTAAGTAATTTTATTTAATTTAATTTTTTATGTATAATAATTCAAGAGATCCTCCTAATCAAATTCTTCTTTTAATTCTAAATTCATTGCCTTCATCTTTTCCTTTGAACAATTAATTCTTACATGAAAAATTCAATTAGTATGGAGATATTAATAAGATTCTTATTTTTGAAAGAGGAAAAACAACCAAAGCTTTTGTTGAATTTCATGAATTGAAAAGTGCAATTTAAGCTAGAAGATAATTAAATGGATCCAATATTTAAGGAGGAAAGTAATTACTCTCTTTTTTATAGTTTTAGAATGATAATTCATTTTTCTCGGCTTAAAAATCTTAATCTCGAAATTGTCGATAACTCAAGAGGAACAGATTATACATAAGCTAGTAGTAATAGTTAGAATTCGGATTCTATACTAAACTCAAGAACAGATGAAAATATTTAGCTTGATTTAACTAATCATATTAGTTAAACTTAATCACCAAGAGCTAATTCCAGTCCAATTAGAAATGAATAAATTAATCGTCTATTAGAATCAGATGATGAAGATGATTTAACTATCTGGAAATAAGCTATCCCTTAGAATATCTCAGAATTTCATCCAGAAATATAAAAATTACTTCAACAGAGATAATCAAGATTATTAAGAATCATAAATTTTGATTCTAAAATCACTGGAAAAATGATCTATAATGTCTTTTCTAAGTTTGGTAATTTAGAAGAAATCCTATATTAAAAGTCATTATCCAGAGCCTTCATTAAATATTAAACAGTAAATTAGGCAATTATTGCAAAAGAATATCTCAATAATATTTAATTTTTTGATTCATAAGTAAGTATTTTAACTTCTAATACTTTAGATACGTATTTATTTTGAACCTCTCTAATCCCTTTAACCAACTTCTTTTTAGGACGAGTATATGATCTATTATCATGACACTTAATAATTTAACACTAGTCCCCTCTCCTCAAATCTCTTGATCACATGTGTTTAAGATCCTTCTGAAATCTCTGAACAAATCTAAATGTTTGCAAAAGCTAAAGGTATTTTATATTATTTAATTTTAATAGAAATTAAATTAGGAGTAAATAGTATTCATTTGACAATGTATTCTAATGCAGATGCACTAAAAATTATAGCTGTATTTTCAGATTATGAATTCTAAAATGAGAAAATGAATATCATTCTCAAATAATGATATCTTAATTATTATCATAAAATAAACAAATAAACCAAAAAATATAATATTAAATTATCACTATTATGATTGTCTATATATCTTAACTTCTTTTATTAATCTGCATATTTTAATATTCTTCTTATTTTGTAATTAATTTTGAACTTATTTTTTTCTAAATTTCTATTTTAAGAATTTAAAGTTATTATATATAATATTTAAGTTCAAAATAATAAAAATTATCATTATAAACTAAATATTTTTCTCCTTAAAATTATTATATAAAGAGAATATAAATGTTTTCCTATAATATTATTTATTTTTTATTTTTATAGCAAAGCCTTTACTTATATCCATTAATTTTCAGTCAAAATAATTAATTATTTTTATTTGAAATAGTTGCCATTTAATCATAACTTAAATAAGGATAAAATAATCTAAATAATCAAATAAACTTTACACTTTAACACTTTGTTACACTATTTTAATATTTGGATAATAATTGATATCAAAATAATTCTCTTAAATTTAATCAAAAAATATATATATTTTATTTGATTTCTATATTAGAGAGAAATCATCATTATAATATCAATATAATAATGATGCATAATTGTTGATTATTATTGCTTAATTATCTAATACTGACTAAATATTACTTTAATTAAGTATTGTAATAAGTAATATTTAGTCATAATGTAGTAATTATACAAATAAATACAATTTTTAACAAAAAATATAGATACAATATTTTAGTTATATTGAAACAAAAATTCCTATTAAAGAAGCATTATTTTCACCAAATTATAAAGGTTAAATAAATTTTTGCAAAATAATATTTAAAATATATAATCTATTTGCTTTTCTTAAATTGATATATAAAATATAGATAATAGAATAGATAAACTTTAAAAAGTCTTTAATGTTTAAGGATATTAATTTTAATACTGTATTTATTTCTAATGAAAAGTTTTAATTTTTGGTAATTAAATGAATTATATTTTGTATCCTTTTGTATATAAATATAAGAAAATAAAAATAAAAATATATGTATTAAATACTTTAGAAGAAAAAATAATAGAAGCTTTTTTGGATATATAAATGAAAAATTTAGTTTGGGCTTGTTTTAACTTAACAACTTAGAGAAAATAAATTAATGACTCATAAATGATTAGTTATTATTAATATTTGATTAGAGTGATAAAAAAGATAATGATTCCTTATTTTTAGTTAATTGATCAAATAATATGTTGATAGAATAGTAATATAATGAATTGATTGAATTGAAATCAGTTTTTACTACTTTTTAAAGATTATGATCATTTACATTAAATATGAAATTATGGTTTAAGCTATTAAAATTATTAAAGGAGACATATATATGATGGAAATATTTATAACTTTACTAAATATAACACTAAAATGTGATACATTGAAAAATATTTAAATATTAAATGAAATTTTACACAATGTTTATAATATTGAAAAAGTAGTACAAAATGATTCAATATTAAATATACATCTCTGGAAATACATATGATTTATTAGTTAAAATGTTTTTATTTTGTTTAATGGGAGGGAATTTATTATTAAATATTAAAATTTTAAAGGATGAGTTCAACTATTGTAAATAAAATGGAAGAAGCTATGAATTATTTATATTAGATATTAGCATCATAATCAGAAGTATAATTACCTAAGAATTACAATTAATAAACTAACATATGCTCAACGATCATAGTTTTTTAAAGATATGTTTCTAATACTTAAACAATATTTTTATATGGATATGATTCCAATTCATTAATTATTATCAAACAACAACACTATAAATTAGACGAGTTTATTGTAAATGTTCCTTAATATTTCATAAGAGTTTAACAATTTTTGTCCTCAATCCTTATTCAATATTAATAGGTTTGTATTCATTTCATAAATTATGCTTCATTAAATGAATGTGATAGCATTTAAATAAAATAAGAGGCTTATAATTTACTTGAAGTGCCTTATCCTTAAAGTAAAATAATAGTATGGATAGAATATTAAAAAAATCTACAATTTCCAAATGATTGCCTTTAAATAAAATTTCCTGACAATTAATTGGCATTATTAAAAATTTAGAGTAATTTGATCAAGAATTATGAGATGTATGAAGAGTTTACTATAAAATAAATTACTCAAATTTAAGGAATTCATAAATAGTTTAAGTAAAAAATAGAATTATGTGAAAAATAAGTAGTAACTTTTAATTTTCTGAATTTAATTAAATCTATTACTTTATTATAAGATATGCCTGATTAAATATAGTATTAGGCATAATTATTAATGAATTTACCTAGTTATACTGGTTAAGATGTAATGATAATGATAGCAAAACTTAAATTGTATAAATAGAATGCAATTTTAAGTAAAGTTATAAACTAATAAAATTTAAANACTAAATATAACACTAAAATGTGATACATTGAAAAATATTTAAATATTAAATGAAATTTTACACAATGTTTATAATATTGAAAAAGTAGTACAAAATGATTCAATATTAAATATACATCTCTGGAAATACATATGATTTATTAGTTAAAATGTTTTTATTTTGTTTAATGGGAGGGAATTTATTATTAAATATTAAAATTTTAAAGGATGAGTTCAACTATTGTAAATAAAATGGAAGAAGCTATGAATTATTTATATTAGATATTAGCATCATAATCAGAAGTATAATTACCTAAGAATTACAATTAATAAACTAACATATGCTCAACGATCATAGTTTTTTAAAGATATGTTTCTAATACTTAAACAATATTTTTATATGGATATGATTCCAATTCATTAATTATTATCAAACAACAACACTATAAATTAGACGAGTTTATTGTAAATGTTCCTTAATATTTCATAAGAGTTTAACAATTTTTGTCCTCAATCCTTATTCAATATTAATAGGTTTGTATTCATTTCATAAATTATGCTTCATTAAATGAATGTGATAGCATTTAAATAAAATAAGAGGCTTATAATTTACTTGAAGTGCCTTATCCTTAAAGTAAAATAATAGTATGGATAGAATATTAAAAAAATCTACAATTTCCAAATGATTGCCTTTAAATAAAATTTCCTGACAATTAATTGGCATTATTAAAAATTTAGAGTAATTTGATCAAGAATTATGAGATGTATGAAGAGTTTACTATAAAATAAATTACTCAAATTTAAGGAATTCATAAATAGTTTAAGTAAAAAATAGAATTATGTGAAAAATAAGTAGTAACTTTTAATTTTCTGAATTTAATTAAATCTATTACTTTATTATAAGATATGCCTGATTAAATATAGTATTAGGCATAATTATTAATGAATTTACCTAGTTATACTGGTTAAGATGTAATGATAATGATAGCAAAACTTAAATTGTATAAATAGAATGCAATTTTAAGTAAAGTTATAAACTAATAAAATTTAAAAATTAATGAATACTTGTAAGTAGCCAAAACTGATCTAAATTTATTTAAAGATTAAAAAAATCACCATTTTCCAAAAAAAGGAGAGAATAGCTAAAAGTATTTTTTATTAATTATAATTTAGATGTAAAGTTTGTCAAAAGAACAGCAATAAAGTTAGAAAATCAAGCTATATTTGTGAAGCTTGTTAAAAATATTATTTGATAAAAGTAACACTTTGCACAACAAGATGTTTTAAAGTATTTCATTTAAATCCAGAAAAGTATTTAAGAAGAAAAAATAGAATTAAAAAAATTAAAGTAGAAGAATGATAAAATATTTCTATTTTATAAAATTTATATTTAAAATGCCTCTTAATAATTATAAACTTTTAAATCAATAGTATATTAATTAATTTTAATATGAAAATTTAAAGATTTAGAAAAATAATAGTGTGAAAATTGAAATGAATTATAAATTAAAAAATGTGCAAATATTATATTATATAAATATTTATATATAAAATTATGATCTGTTAAGTCATTTTAGATAAAATAAGAATTTAATAATTATCAACATAAATAGAGTAATTCCTGATTTAATTAAAACTGACTTAATGGTTTAAGATTCTGATATTTTATAAAATGATTTTATGCAATACATAAAGAGTAAACAATAGCAAATTTTAATTAGTATTTCATCAGCATAAATTCCAATAAGCATAGATATCATAAATAGTATATAAAGTAACATCAAATAAGTTACCATCAAAGGTTTACTGACTTTAATATATGAATAAGATTACTGTATAGCATCCAATCACTAAATAAAATAATTTCTTATAATGATGATAAGGCTATAATAAGGATTGCAATTTTAAAACTATCTTAAACACCAACAAGGTAACCAAAACTTAATTTTTAAATTGAAATTTCAATTAAGATTGAATTTATTTTTGTATTAATTTGATTATCAATTTTATTTTGTGTAATTTGTGTATGTTATGTGAATTACATGTCTTTTATAGTTTGAGTTCTGGCAGGTTTAAATTGAGGAAGTTCACTATCCTAATCGGAAACTCTACCTAAATGTCTAGCTCTAGCTAATTATTTATTGCTATATTCAGAAACACAAATTTTATTTTATTTGCTATCTATTGTCTAAAATAATATAATAAATTACAAACTATAATTTATTTATTAAATCTGTTTAGTTTAATTTACTATTACTATTTTTAACTTCATCACTATGTTTTATTTAATCAATTTGATTTTAATTTCTGTAAAAACTTTCAATCTGTAAAATTTCTTCATTTTTTTCAGGAACATATTCTGAAATAACTTTAGGTTATAATATTAAAGGAGGAGGAGAGAAAGTATTATTGCTTAGACCAATTTATGTTAATTATGTTTCTTCAGAATCTTTTTGGTATATTTCTTAAAGTTCTTTAGCAATAAATAATAATGGAATCAAGAATAAAATTTTATATTGTATTAAGAATTCATTATTTAGATATGCTGAAATTGATTCTCTTTAATAATTAGGTAATTGATCAATTTGTCTAATAAGTTTCGAATAATTATGATCCTTTAAGTATCTATTATGTTGTATTTCAATTGCATTAATAAAAAGCAAAGGGATAATAAATACGAAAGCAGAATGAAATAGAAATCTTCTAATAAAGTTGATAAGCTATTCAGTAAATCTTTCATATTTCATAATCCTTGCGTTATAAATAAAATACGTAATCCAAGTAAATGCCAAACCTACTATAAAGTTTATAATATAAATCATTTTATATAATGAATATTCAAATTTACTCAAACAAAAATGACTATAGAATCCATTATTGAAAAAATATTTGAGATTATATCGATATATAGATAATTCATTCAAATAATCAAAATGGAATTTAAAATGTGAGTCAGATTAAATTCTTTTTCAATTTATTGATTATAGTATTTTTTATCAAAATATTGAAGATGAAAGATAATTAATTCGAAAGAATAATATTATCAAGTTCTAATTCATAAAAACACACATTATCATTATAATTTCTTAATTTTAATTTAACAGCATTAAATTACATGACCAGCATTATAGTTTTATCTAGAAAAGAAATTTACAATTTTTTGAGTTAATTTTAATAAATGAAAATCATTCTACAAATAATGAGATTATTATGAATTTATTCAGGTGATAATATATGATATAATTTTAAATAATGTTATTAGGTAATCTGATTAGAATATAGAAAATTTTAAGATTATCATCTAAAATAAAAAATATATGACATTATTTTGGATTAATTTTAAATATTAAAAATAATTGCTTTGACTTACATTTTAAGTTTAGCTAATTTATTCAAATAGAAATATATTATTATAAGGGATCAATATTCATTAATTCTTATTTTAACAATATAATCAATATTTTTGAATGTTTAAGTATTTTTAATAATGATTATTGATTTATTTATAAAGAAATATTAAAAATAACAGTTTTATTTAATTAGTTAATTTTAATATTAACATGCTTTAAGGCTAAGACGAATGTAAAAATTATCAAAATTTTTATAGTCTCCGATGTTACTGCAGATGAGCAAAACAACACTAAGACATTCGTATATCAAATAGAAAAGATGAGGTTGCTACTATAAGTACCTTTAGAAAGAAGAAACTAATAAATATGTTAAGATATAGCATAAATAGCTGGAGTAATATTTGTTATGATATTGAAAAGGAAATCTAATTTTTGAAGTAATATAAAGATAAGCCAAATTTCTTAGACTTGTGTAAACACCTATTTCTTAAGACTTATAATAAAAGAGAATATATATTTTAATAAGGTGAAACAGGTGATGCATTTTTTGTGATTCTAAGCGGGAGTGTAAAAGTTTTTATAGAAGAGCCTACAGAATTTAGAAATTTCATGTAATTAGTAAGATTTAATTATTTATGTAGAAAGAAATCGCTGTTTTACATAAAGGTGATGCATTTGGAGAAATATCATTACTTTATAATTCCAAAAGAACAGCTGCAGTTATGGCAGCAGAAAAAAGTGATTTAATTGTCTTGACGAAAGAGATATTTGATGAATATCTAAATAAAGATAATAAATAGGAGATGCAGACGGCTAATTTAAATAAATTATTATCTTTTTTAGAAAGAGTTCCAATCTTTTAAATGATTTAAAAATCTATACTAGTTTAAATCTCCACAAAATGTACAATAGAGCATTTTCCTTCTTAAACAATATTAATAAAGTAAGGTACTGAACCTCAAAACATGTACATTATTAAGTAAGGTTGTGTTTAAGTAATAAGAAAGACAAAATTCTAATGTGGTAGTATAACATCAAGAGATGAAATAATAAAATAATCTAAGGATCTCTTTTATGATATTGATGAATTAGGTGATTATGAAGTTTTTGGTGATTATGCAATATTAAATGAGATTGAATCTGATGTTTCTTATATAACATCTATTCCTAGTGAAATAATTACAATAAGTGCATTTAATGTTAGAAAGATATTGACTATGGATATCATTTAAATTTATAAATAATAATTAAAACGATATCCTGATGATTTCGATATTCAATATTTACATGAGGAAAAAAAGAGATGGAATCAATATAGAAGAAAACTTGTTAGAAATATAGATATAGATAAACAAAATAAAAAAGGATTTAATCATCGTCTTAGATTACCTGAACTTAAAACTAAGGAATTATCTCCTCCAATAAATATAATGGATATCAAAACTAGTGATAGCAAGATATATTTTAAATTTTTAGAAGAGAGAGTTAGTCCTGTAGCAGATAGCAAAAAGAAAATATCATAATTAACTTAGGTTGGATTTAATAATCAAATAATTAAAGATCTTGAACTTTCATAAGCACAATAAACCTTCTAAAGAAAACTTAAAAAATTATAATATAAAAAATATTGAATTATCATTGTTTTTTAGACATAATTTTGAATATTTATTTTTTTATTCTATATTAGTTACTGAATTCTATTTATTATTAAATAAGCTTTTTATGATGAGTTTATTTGTTATGTTCCTTCCATTTCTACAAAATTCTTTTACAAAATTTAACCAAATGTACTTGCATCATTTTCTCATTCATATCTCTTTTTTTTATTCTATAATTATAATATAATTTTAATTGTGAAAACAATTATTTTTATAATGATTTACGTCTAAATAATTCTGCAAATTCTAATGAGTATCTTTTATATTTATGCTTTTATGTATAATTTTATAAATAGTAGAATAGTTATTTCATTTTCTTTTAACTAAGACTATTTTCTATATCTTTATATTTTTAAACTAAATTTTTAGTATCCTTTAATGTGAATATTGTTAATTTCAATAGATTATCTTTTCTAATTTTTTGTAAATATCGTTTATTTTATTATTATCCCTTATATTTTAATAAAATATAAAAAGATTTTTGCATAAGCATTTTCCATCTCCCCAAATAAGCCAATTTTTTTTATCTTCTATAAATCATATGCTTCTCAGTTTATATTTTTAAAAAAGAAAATAATTCATAAATAAGTGAAAGATTTCGCTTTTTGATAAACTCTTTAATTTCTTTTCTTTAATTGATTTGATATTATACATATTAGAACCAAAATTAAAAAATATTCTAAAGTCTTAATTTTTATTTGTTTATTGCATATTATTCTAAATATTTTTCTGTTTAATGCAATTTGGATTTCATAATATTAAAGTATTTTAAATATAATTTCATTTATTATTAATGAATCAATTCTTGATAAGCTATTACATCATTTTATGTTCTATTAATATACTTACACCAATATTTATAATATCTTTTTTTTGTGTTCTTTATATATAATTATTAAGCATCATATTTATTTATTTATTTCTGTTGTAAATTTAAAACAACTTAACTCCAAGCTTTCATTAATGTACTTTTAAGTCTTTTCTCTCTTTTGGTCTAGAATCTAAATAGTAAAACTTATCTTATTTGAATCTAATCAATATATGCATGCCATTCCTTAAAGAGCATTTTCAACCATTTAATTCTTTTTGTTTCTACAAAACTTGCTACTTGATATACATTATAAGTCTTTGCAGTTTGTAATCTCCAGGCTTAAAATAGTTTTTGTAACCATTCCCTTTATTGTTCAACATATTCAATTATTTCAGATGTTTTTAAAGAGTCTATTAATTCATTTAGTTAGGATTCAGCTTCACTATCTATAGAGTTCTCCTTCAATTTACATGCCTATTGATAGAGATCCCTCTTTATCGAGTTAGATAAAGATTTTGAATTCGAATTCATTTAATTGATTAATATTAATTAAGAAAAGCATGGGAAGCAATTGTGCTACCTGTTAAAATTGCTAAAAAAAGGAGGAAATACTAATTAGTGAAGTATAACAATAATCGAATCCACAAATGAATTAATACTCACAATAACCAAATGAGGAAGAAGAAGAGGATCGTATTTTGATTTTAACAATAATTTAAAGACCTTGAAGAAAAGAATCAGGATGGTTAAAATCAGATTGTATAGTAATATTTAAATTTGGATCAACCTAAAAAAAATGATGTTAATGTCTATGCAGAACCAACTAGAGCATAACAAGTAGATACTCCATAAGTTCAAGTGATCATGACTAATGGTATTTATGAAAACAATTGTATAAATAAGAGTCAAATGCAGATAGCAAAAAGAGAAAGAACGAAATGATGTTAAGAAATTAGGAAGATTTAAATGATGTATAACTTCTTAAGTCTGAGAATACAGTTAGAGAGAAGAGACCTCGTCATTAATTTAAAGTAGAAAAGTGTTGAAAATATTAATTTTATAGAGTGGAGCATATTATGAAGGAGAATGGGTTGGATAAAATAGAGATGGATATGGAATTTAAATTTGGAGTGATGGAGCAAAATATGAAGGAGAGTGGAAAAATAATAGAGCTAATGGAAGGGGGAAATTCTGGCATATAGATGGAGATTATTTTGAAGGAGATTGGAAAGATGATAAAGCATGTGGGAAAGGTCTTTATATGCATACAAATGGTGCATAGTATGAAGGAGATTGGATGGATGATTTATAACATGGTTTTGGAGTTGAAACTTGGGCTGATCAAGCAAGATTTGAAGGAATATATTAACATGGAAAAAAAGAAGGATTTGGGAAGTATTACTGGGGAGATGGATCAATTTATATTGGAAATTGGAGTGAAAATAAGTTATGTGGTTTTGGTGTGTATACTTGGCCTGATGGAAGGGTAATGAAATTTATTTAATTTAGAGATACGAAGGATAATGGGCTAATAATTAGATGAATGGACGTGGAATCTATTATTGGAAAGATGGAAGATGTTATGAGGGATAGTATGTAAATGATAAGAAACATGGTTATGGAATATACACATGGCCAGATGGAAGGGTATGAATATTTATGGAGTCTTATTAGAAATATGAAGGTTATTGGTCTAACGGTAAATAATAAGGGAAAGGAAGATACATATTACCTAATGGAAAGAGTTAGTTAGGATTATGGGAGAATGGCAAAAGGATCAAATGGTTGGATTAAAGTGAACAGAGTTTAGATTTGAAACCAAAAGATTGGAATTCTTATGTTTAACCTTCTTTGGGAGAAACATAATTATGATTATTTTACTAATTAAGTAACTTAGGAAATATGTTATAAACTTCATTGTAAAGTTTCTTCTAATCTCTAAAATCCCAATTGTTCATGAAATTAGGTAGCATAACTTATGATTTATTCAACACACAGATGATCTGAATGTTTTGACTTATCAAAGACGTCTGAGCATTCTTAAAGTTAAGTAATAAATTAAGCAATTTGGTCTTAATCTAATTTAAGTAGATGAGATTGAAAGTGTTTTAGTAAAGCAAGAGATAGTGAAATAATTGCCAAAATATTGTTGGCAATCATAAAATCGAAGAAGTAGAGTACTACTTCAAAAGGGAATGTTTATAAAAACAGTGAAAATATCCATTTCCAAATGTAACAATATTGGGTGATATCTTGAGTTTCAAAATGTTAATACAGTTATGGCATTTGACTTTTGAAATGCTTATGGAATATGTTTAATAATTTTGTAACAAATTCAAATTGATTCCCTTAATCTAATAACTAAATTACTTTATACTCTATGAATCATTCGTTTGATATAATTAAAAAAATTTGAATTACGGATTGATGTTCAAATAATTTAGCATCCAAAAGGCTTCTTCTTCATCCATTCCACTTACTAATAATAAGAATCCAGCCACTTGATTCATACCTGTCACATAATCATTATTATAGATAGCAATAGCCTTTAGAACATTTTATAATGCTTGAGATTTTTTATGAAATTCTTAATGACCTGGTAATGTTCTAGGCAAATCCTTTTCAATATCGCTATCAAATTGATTTTGTTAACTCTTTAACAAACTTTCGTAACACCCTGATTCAAATATATTTTCTACAAATAAGGATACTTTCCATAAAGGCCATCTATTTGAAGAGAGTGCTCCATTCATTAGATACTTTCTAAATCTTATTGGATCACTTTATTTGAATTTAAGAGCTGCAGAAAAGTCTTTAATTTCAAATTGATTCCATTAATGTTACAAATATTTCAATTAAGGATTACTACTTTCAATAGCTTCTTAAAATTTGATTCCTACAAGATTGTTATACTTAGATCTAATTTAAATTTGATTGGTCTTTCCAATTTAGCATCCCATAAATGAATATCAATTATAAAAATAATTAATAATAATATTCAATAAATCACAATTGGTCGTCCATTATGGAGGTATGTTTTAGATTCAATATTATGTGTATTTTACATATCTATTTTTACAATATTTTTATGTTAAATTTTAATAGATTAAGGATTAGTAATTTTTTACACTTCTTGAGATAATTAAAATAAGTTTAGTATTAGATACAACTAAAAATTAAATTCATAATTACTCTTAAAATTAGACTTATTATTACTAAAATAGATATCATTTTTTAAATGGAAATTTCATAAGGTATGTAAATCTCATGAGAATCATTGCCAAGCCATTTCATACCAATACAAAAGATCCAAATAACATCTAAAAAACAACTCATTCCAAACAAGATACCTAAAGTCTTAATACGATTCTCATTTAAAGCATTAAATTCCCAAAGTATATAGAAGTCTATTATAAGGAGCAACTAATAATAGTGACACTCTCATTACATCAAAAAATTGAGCCTTGTAAAATAATATCAATAGAGTAAAACAACCTATGAGACCAATTAATATAGTAATTAATTTGAATTTGCTATTCTTATCCAAAAGAGGATCACAAAATGGTTTTACAATTTTTGTAGGATCTACTTATTAATAAGAAATTGGAATGATAGATGTAGGTTCTTAAGAGATTGGTTTCTAATATCCTTTTGTATTGAGTTATCTCCATTTAACAAATGGTTCATAAAGTATGAAGAGATCTCTCTCATATTATAGTAATTCTTATTCTTATTAATACACTTATTATTAGTAAGAGTTAAGTACATCTCTAAGATATTTGACCTTAGAATAGACCCATTAAATTTGGATGTTCAATTAGGATCCACTTCTATTCCCATTGATATCATATAAATCTAACCAAATATCATGTAATTGTTGATTTTTTAGATTGAAACTATTGTTGGATAGATTTAAATCAACCCTAGCAATCACTATATTAGGAGTATATTTATCAAAATCACAAACAGTTAATTTTAAGTCTTCTTTTCCAGTTTAAACTGGGAAATAAAACTTTTATAACTCCTTCCATATAGGATTAGGACCTTTATTAATAATTGTTTGCTTTTCAAATTTATCAAATTGTAAAGTGACAAATGGATCTAATTATTTACCATCTGCTTTAAGATTAGCAGCTTAAATTACAATAACACATAATTAACTGCCTTCCATAACACCAAAATTATTCAATTTTTCATTAGATTAACAATAATCTAAATTAGTTTCTGTTTCCCTTTTCTGTTAATAGTTTAATTCTAAAGTAGTTCTACAATTGTTTATTTTACTTTTCAAACTGTCTTCAGCTTTTAAAAGTATTTAAATGAATTCATTTACTGTTACTTTACCATCATGATTAATATCTAAATTAGACCATAATTCTTCAGCAATCTCACGATCAAATTGTTTTCCAATCTAATCAACACAGAAATGAAACAAGTTATACCTTAGAATCTAGAACTTAAAACATTTCATTTTTATCTAATTTGCCATCATCATTTATATCTAATTCATTAAATTCCTGTTTCAATGATTCATATTTTTATTAGAAAGTTGCCATTATTAATTTATTTTTTACAATAATTTATATTTCATAATAAAGTTAATATCATTTTTTCCATTAAGTAATTGTTGTAGTTCTTTTTTTAGGTGTCTACTTCTTAATAATTGGAGTTGTACTAGTTTATGGATGTTAAGGTTATAATCTAATATTTTAAGGTGAAGCTGGTACACTAGTTTACATTGAAGAGGAAGTTTTTCTTAAATATTATCCCATAAGAGATTTCAATTCTTCTTTTAATTTCATGTTCTCTTCATTTAATTCTTCAATTTTTACACTCTATGAAAATTTGAATTTCTAACTTTCAAATTCAAGATCTTCTAATTATTAAGAGAATTCTTAAGTTTGTTTACTTTACAATTACAATTGTCCAGTCAATGTTTTAACAGATGATTCTAGTGCTCCTATTTATTTAAGTAATTAAGAATCATGCTCTTATAATTATGTTATTCTTTAGGTTTATTCATTTTTTGATATTAGTGCTTCTTATAATTGAGTTTATAAATTCTTTATTTAAGTTTCATAGGACTCAATTCTCTTTTAATATTACATCAATTTCATATTGAATTAATCCTATTATTTTAGAATCTCTGTAGATGGTCTATTATTTTATACATTTAAATCATTTAACACATGCATAATAGTTCCATTCATTTTTTATATATTACAATTACGTTCTTCTGTTTCTTTTAACTTTAATTCTAATAATTAATTTTTCTACATCAAATGAGCATTTTCTGTTAATGCTTTAGTCAATTATCTAATATAATACTTAAATTAAATTACTTTTTTAGTTCACCTATTTCAGCAACGTTCATTTTAATAATAATTTATTATTATGGAATTAGAAAAAATAGAAGATAAAGTTGATGATAAAAAATTAGATAAATCTGAAGATAACCCTATTGAATAAGAAAGACCATAAAAAAGTATATTAATGAAAGGTCCAAATATAATAGTTTCTGGTAATAAAGTCTCATTAGCCTTCAAGGAATCAGGTTATGAAACTCTTATTTTGTAACCACCTATGGGTAATGAGAATAGTTTAATTATAAACTTAATTAATGTATAAACTCTTATCTATTAAAAGGGTTCTGGAGTGAGAGTAGGTATAACACTCAATGATCCCTCTCTTAATCTTATTGAATATCCTGTTGGAATGCATAAATGTTAATATAGCTATAGAATTAAGGATGGATATAAATTTAATGATGGAATTGGAACTAAATATGGAAATGGTATTAAGAAATCAGAACCAATAAGAATGTTATTTATTAATAATGAATTAATTTTTGAAGAATAAGGTAAATCTCTTGGATCTGCTTTTAAAGTACTCCCTATAAAGGATGGAAAATATTATCCAGCTATTTCAATCTTTTAAGATGCCTAAGTTGAATTCGTTTATCATTGATTATTGATTTAGGTGTATAATGTTATAAACTATATTTTTTCTAGAATCCTTTTTTTTTATCAATAGTTATAATATGATTTTTGTTGTTGTAATCTCAGAATCCTTTAGCACTCATCACTCTTCTAATGTTCTATTTAAAACATGTAATTGATGGGGTTGGTCTTGTTAAAGTGCCTAAATTATTGGGCTTGAATTATTCTTTTCCTTTAGGCCATTCTTTTCTTTTAAGTGGTTTCACAGGATCTGGTTTATAAGTAATTTATTCAAATTCTCCTTCAAAACCTTTTTTACCTGGATTAGCAGGTTTGAAATTTTATTCATGTTTCATAATATGCATATCATGAGGCTTTTCTTTATTAGATGGAGGTGCTTTTCCATCAAATCCAAATACTTATTTATCTTTATTAAAATTCTCTCCTCCTGCTATTGTTGTTCTAAATGCAACTTCTTTTTCTCTTCTTTTTGCCTCCATTTATAATTTCTAAAATAGAACCTTAGATGTGTTACCAATTAATATTAGTGAAATCTATCGTATTCATCCTTTAAATGTGGATATCCTTTTGATAAATCCTTATTTGCTGGATTTGTTGTAATATTTCTAGGAGCAGACCATACTCTACCATCAGCAGTTTTATAATTTCTTGTCTTTTTCATATCAAACTCTTTCATATGAGGCCAAGGTCCTCCTAACAATTCCTTATAACCTGATGCAGGTTTAAATGGCTAATCTTTAAATAGGATCTTCTTAGTCTTTTCCAATTCATATTACAAGTCCTTTCTTTATGGATCCTTATATGGATCACCAATGGAAGTAAAAGTAGCTTAGCTAAAATAAGAGCTCTTAATTCTTCCACTTTTTGGAGCTCCAATTTTCACATTATTTGGTTGAGTAATTGGTTTTCCATTCTCCCCTCTAGGAGCTATATAGAATTTAATATAATAGATACGTCTATTTTTGAAATCGTAACTGTCATCTCCCAAACCAAGTGGTACTGGAGAAGAGAATAAGGCAAATCTTTATTTCTTAGCTTGTAATTCTGTATCTTATAGGATTTCTTTTTTGAGCTTTGCCAACTCATCACTCATTTTAAAATAAAAATAAAAATAAAAAAAAGAAATGTCTTTATAAGAAATAGATGTCTAACCAGACTAATATTACATAGATTAACTTAAGATCAAAGTTAAAATTTAAGAAATCTAAGAGACAGCTCTCTTAATACATCTTTGCACTATATCATTACCAATTTTACTCAGTAAAATTATTGTAATGATTTACTATTAAATAGAATCTAGATTTCATTAAGGCTTAATTTCGACTAAGTTTAGTGAGCATTTACATTTTGACATTGATTTCGGTCTAATTTTGCACATAATCTTTATCAAATGTATTTTAAGATTAATATTAAACAATTTCTAGAAACCTCTTAAATATGTCATATTTTATGTCCATTTAATTACTAAATTATATATTCTACTTTGCTTATGTAAAATTAAAATTTTTGAGGTATTAAAAACAAACATTTTTAGTCATTTTTTATAGTTATGAGTGTAGCATATTTAAGTATTTATTGTTTCATCAAGACTAGAGACATTATTAAAGGACATAATGATTTGTAAGTAAAATATTATCTTACTCATATTGTAACAATTAGTTTTTTGACAACATTCTTATTAGTTTAGGAATTGTATTTCAAATTTTATGTCATTCCTATGTATTGGTTATTTATGATACTCTACATGATATTTTTGTTGTTAAATTTATAATTAGTAGAATATAGATAATATCTTTGGGAAAATAATGATATCTATATTACAACTGTCTTAATTGATAGTGATTTGATTGCACCTGCTAATTTGCTCAAATTATAAAGTTAAATTACAAAACCTTAAAATCATGAGGAAATTAAAAAACAAGAAGTAATAGAAGATTCTGAAATTGATGAACTAGATTCAGAAATGTAAGACTGAAATTATTATGCATATCTTATTTATTTATATAATTATTCTCATAATTATGTTACAGTATTTGGAACTGTTCTTTGGTACAATAACACTTGCTTAGAATAAAAATCAGGTACTGCTTAATATTCAACTTTTTACTAATTGTTCATTTAATAAATTTTTACTTTTTTATATAAATAAGGGAATGTTATTCCATTGAAAGTATTTAAGTATATCAATAGACTTCCTCCCACTAACAAACCCAAATAAGCTTGAATTCCTACTCTAGCACCATAGTATACAGGATTTAATCTGAATTTCAAAGCTGAAGGGAAATTCTTACTCATTTATTCAAATTTAGTATTATCCATTGCCATTTTAATAAATAATAATATTAAATTAGTTTAAGTATATTTTCTTATTTATTTCTCTTTATCATTTTATTATTTTCTATTATTAATTTCAGAAACAACTTAATCTCTATTTATATACTCTATAATCTTAGTATTTATGATATTGAAATTATTTTAGATTCCATTCATCTACAATATATAAAGACATTTCTTAAAGTATCCTAATTAGTTTAAAGCTTATAATCATTTATTAAATAAATAACTGAATTTCTATTTGAATGAGTGAAATCAATGAGTCTCTTATAGAAGCACCACTTAAAGCCTTACTAGAAGATGTAAACAATTATGATTACAAAAAAGGTATTATTCTGCTTGGAAAGCTATCTGGAAGGCTAGAGTGACTTAAAATTAATTGAAAATCAATTAAAAGATTACGATACATTGCCAGGACTAGTTAAAATCATAGCCACTCTATTTAAGACATTAATGAAGAAAGTCGAGAAAAAAATGACACTTTTGAAACTTAATCTTAATGATAATAGTGCTAATTAAAGTTATCATGCAGAAGAGGAATATGATAAATTAGAATAGATTATATAAAAATATGAAGCTGAGATTAGAGGACATATAAGCGTAACATGAGTTTTGATTAGTTCTTTTAGATTGAATAATAACTTAAGCTTTATAATGATAGTTTATTATAGAAGATAGAAGACCTAGAAAAGTCCCAAAAAGAAACAATAGAATAATTAAATAAAAAAATTTATGTAAATAATAAAAATATCAGATTTAGACTTTAAAAAAGGATCTAGGAAAATCTACAGAGAGCTATCGATAATTAATAAAGGAGAATGAACAATTACGAGAATCAGTAGATCATTAACATATAGTACATACAGATAGTGAAGTCAATGGAAGAATCAAAGATAAAAAGTAATTTAAGATAAATTTATTAGTTTTGTCATTCAGATCACAGATTAAAAAGAGCTGATTATAGTAGTGAATACCCTAAATCAGTTGCAAATCTATATCCTTAGAATTCTATGAGACATTCTACACCTTTGAAATCATAATCATAACATCATAAATGTGGAAAGTTTAATAATTAAATTCAACATCGTAGCATATAAGAATAAGATTTATTTACAAAATATAATAAATTACTCAAATAACATGCTTAATCTATCACTTAAAGATCTTAGATAATTTAAGCAAGTCAATATTTATTAAAAGGAGGTTTTGGTAACAATACAAAAAAGATAAGGAACACATTGAATGTAATATCTGATATTTGTAATGCCTAATAATAAAAGTCTTCATAAAGAAATAAAAGTTAAGGTAACAGTTCAAAGGCAGGAGGCACAAGTTCTCAAAATCATGTAATCTCGAACAATAAATCAGGTCCTCATAAAATTATATCTGAAACATCCAAAACAAATGAAGCCATTTAGAGATTACTAAAACTTAAATGATTTTTATTTAAATGAATTATTCTAGTTATATAATTATTTTTAAAATATCCTATTTATAGATGAAGTAATTATTTCTCATGGTATATTGTAGTTCAATAAACTATTTAAGCCTCAAATGATTTAAAAATTTCATTTTTTATTTTTAATAAATGACTTTCTACCTAATTTATTAGAAATACAATATGAAAACAATATCATATTAAAAAATATCCCCACAATCTAATAACTTTGTAAATTAAATATTAATTTAATTTAAACATCACAATCAGAATTTTATGTTATGTAATCAGAGAAAATAAAAAAAATATTTCAAACTCAAAAAAAAAATGAATAATTTTTTATTTAAATTTAAATTATTATATATTTGTTACATCATATCAAGTTTTTCCTAATCTATTAATTCAGTGCACCATACTAAGAGGGGTATGGGATGCATGATTTTCAGGTTAGGAAAAGAATAATTTGTTAAATTTTTCGATCAAACGTTTAATTTATCGATATTTTTTGATTAATAATTTCCATTATTAAATAATATCGATTACTAATTAAATGATCAAAATACAACTGATACAAATAATACAGCACCAACCTAAATTTATTCTATCTTCTTCTGTAAAAAAATTAAAATTTAAATCTTAATCAATTATTAAAATTGATATAAGAAATAATGTTATAGATATATTAACTTCACATGAAAATTGTTTTTTATATTCATTCTAATCTTCAAAAGGTTTGAAATAAAATATTAATAAACTTTAAATCAAAGAAAGAAATGCTAAATTTATTGATTAAAATAGAGGGTTTTAATATGTAAAAATTAAAAGGATCATAAAAAATAGTTTTTTAAATAGAATTATAGCATTTGTAAATTTACAGTATTAATTTAAATTTAAACCCTCAAAAATAGACCCATAACGCTATTTATTATTTTTTTAAGTAATAGAATAATTACTTAATTGAGAAATATAAGTTATTGCATAAATTACTAATAAATAAACAGCTAATGCAAATAATGCCAATACAGAACTCATTTAAACTAATTAATCTTAAGATTTAAGTTCTAAAGCTGAAATCTATAATATCATAGAAAATGAAAAATCATAAGCTGTTGAAATATGAGTCCTTATTATTCCACTAAACATAAACTCAGATATCATTATGTAGCAAAGTTCTCCAATAAATATTTTAATAGATAAAACATATAATTTCATTTTCAAAATACATTTATCCTTATCTGGTGTGTCTGAAAAATATTTCATTTAAAATTATCTTAAAATAGGTGGAATGATAAGTGCTATTCCATATAAAAAAAGGAAAGATAGCCAAATAGTTAATAAAGATGTTCCATTTATTATAAACAAGGAGTTATAACCATCATCAGAGATTTTTTATGGAATTGATTTCAATCTTTCAAAATCAATATAAGGATCAATAAGGCCAGCTATATCAAAGTACTTTGAAATGAAGTTTAATTAAGCAAACCCAAATAAATTAAAAAATTATTCTAAATTAAATGGGAATTATGTATTAATATATTTAAGATAGGATAACATCTATAGTGTATCAAGTAGATTATAAAATATATCAACTCCTCCAAATAAAATTGATCCTCCAGCAAATCCTGCCAAAATATATAAAATATAATAATTCCCTGAATTAACCAATTCTACTTATTATATCATTTATTAATCAATTAAGATATATTGTTTAATTTCTTCTCTTAGATATGAAATTTATTATATTTAACCATTTAAAGAAAATTAAGTCAAATTTTTAAATATCAATTATAAATATTCTTATTATGAAGTTCTATTGAGTGTTAATTTAATAATAGCTGAAAGCTTTGTTTTATTTTAATTTTAGATTTACAATTACTATGTAATCTAATATTCATAATTTATATTTTTAAATTCAAAACCTTAGTATAACTCTAATTGTATGAATTCAGATAAATTAAAATTAACAGGTAGATCGAGATCAAGATTATATGTAAGTTAAAATTATCTTAAGGGATTATAAAGTGAAGTATCTTCTATAACTTGTAATTTTGGAACTGGTATAAGCAAAGTACTAGAACATATTCCCATTTTACAAATATAATTTTATTCCTTTTTGCAATTTTAGTTGCAACCATCAAAATCTACTAGATTTCCGTCATCACATTCTTCTTCCTAAGACTTTATACCATCACCACACTTACTTTAACATGAATTGTTTTTATAATCTGTATAATATCCATCCATAGACTCACATAATTTACATTGCATCTAATCATCTTAATGGTATCTACATATTAAACAATTTGATGATGAATTGACACACTCTTTACATTTTTCATTGCATTTATTGCATGAATTGGAATCTAGAAAATAGCCTGATTAACATTTTTTACAAACCAATTAATTAATATTATCTTTATCACAAAGTTCACAATATTATGGACATTAAAAGCAAATAGATTATTCAAGTAAAGTATTAATACATGAATAATTTTTATCAATAATACAATTAGAACAACCATCTTTATTAGTATCATTTCCATCATCACATTCTTCTCCATAAGTCCATTAAGAATCAGCACAATTTTTATATTTACATGATTTAATTATTTTCCCTTCCTCAGATTTACAATTTTAACATAAATTAAGTTCATTTAAAAAATAATTAGATTCACATTAACATTTATTTTTTATAAGAACTCTATTAGATTCTGGTTTACAACTTAAACAATTTTAACTTTGTAAATAACAAGTTTAACAAGTTTCATCACATTCTTTACATTAATTTTCTAACCAAAAATATCCATCTTAACATATACACATATTTTAATCATTTAATAGAATATTAGTTAATGATATACATTCATTACATTTAAATTAATTTTCACATTTTTTACATGGATATTAACATTTTAAACATTCATAATTCTAATAATAATAACCTTCTTGACAAATACATTTATTATCAATTAATAAAAAATTACTATTACAACTTTGACACTTTTAATATTCATCAACACAAGTATTACAGTTATCATCACATTTTAAACATATTTCATCATTAATAAAATACCCATCAAAACATGTAATACAAGTATATGCATTATTACATTCTTTACAATTACTTATACAAGATGTACATTTATACATTTAAGCCATATAGTATCCATCTGAACAAGATAAACATACATCATGATCAATACATGTTAAACATTAATTATCACACTATTCACAGATATCATTATAAAGATAATATCCATCTATGCATTCATTACAAATATTAAAGCTAAAGCATTTAGTGCAAGTGTAATTACATTTTTAGCATTCATAATTCTACATATAATATCCATCTTAACATACACATGTGTGATTTATCAAATATTATTAGTCTTTTATACAAGATGTACAGAAATTATTATTATATTAACAAGTTGTACAAGGTTCTTAACAGGGTTTACATTAAAACGATTAATTTATAAAATAGCCATAATCACAAAAACATTAATTATTAAATTAAATAAAAGTAGCATCTTTGCAAATTAAACAATTATCTTAAAATTATTCACAAGCCTTGCATTATGGAGCACATCTTATACATTAATTATCTTCTTTAAAATACCCTTCTTGACATATGCATTTATTGCTTTCTACTTTAAACAAACCTGAATCAATGCATTTAGTACAAGTATTGACATTTATTGAACATTCTAAACATGGATACTCACACATAGAACAATAATTAGAATTTAATCCAGATTGTCCATATCCAGATTTACAAATACATTTATTGTTAATAATTACATGATTAGGATCTAAGCATTCTGTACAAGTATCTTATGTAGTAATACATTTAGTGCAGGGTAGTTAACATTAATTACAATAATTTCCAGTTGCATAATAACCATGATTACATATACATCTATGATTTACAACAGTTTAATTAGTATCAATACAAGTTAAACAATCTAATGATGATGTACAATTTACACAAGGTAATTAACATAATAAACAATTAACTGTATCCATATAATAACCATTATTACAAACACAATCTAAATTAGTATCAATATATTAATTTGTATCAATACAAGTAAGACATCCATTTAAATCACAATTAGCACAAGGTTATACACATTATTCACAATGTGATATTGTATCTGAATAATATGTATCTTAACAAATGCATTAATAACTACCATTAATTATATGATGAATATCTACACATGAATCACAATGACTAGTATTAATAGAACATGAATTACAAGGTGAAATACATGGTTAACAATCATAATTACTATCATTCAACCATCCTGATTCACAAATGCATTATCCACTACTTAATACATGATGTGCATCCTTACAACCTGTACAATAAGTTGTTGTTCCTGAACATTATGTACAAGGTGATACACATTAATCACATAAATTTCCATTTGCAACCCAACCTATATTACATAAACATTAATATGTTGATGGATCAACTGTTTAATTAATATCAATGCATGTTATACAATGAGTAGATTCTATTTCACATTTAACACATGGTGAAGTACAAGGTTAACAATCACTAGGTGAATTTAATATTTCCTCATAATATCCATCATCACAAACACAAGTATTAGATCCACTTGATATAAATGTACTAGCACAATCTGTACAATAAGTACTTGTACTTGTACATTTAGAACAAGGATGAGTACATAATTAACAATAATAAGAACCATCCATATAATATCCATCATCACATACACATAAATCACTTTATACTGTTTAATGAGAATGAGCACAAGATGTACATTTAGTATCTATATCTACACAATTATAACAAGGTAATGAACATTATAAACAATTAGGACTATCTAAATAATAATTATTGATGCAAGATGTACAAACACTATTACTTGAACAATTAAGACATGGACTAATACATTATTAACAAACAGATGAAGCATCCATATAATATGTATCAATACAATGGCAATCATTTAAAACTTAATGTGAAACATCATTACATTCTGTACAAAAAGTAGGTGAAGTACATTTTGTACAAGGTAATGAACATAAAGTGCATACTCCAACATTATCATAATAACCATCATCACAAATACAACTATTTACTACTAAATGTCTATTTAATCCGATTATACAAGAATTACAATCTGTATTACTTGAACATGTTAAACATGGCGATGAACAATTTTAACATGCTTTAGGTGATCCATTGTCTTCATATTGATTTGTTAAGCAAGTACAAGTATGAGCTGATGAATCATATTGATATGTTGAAGCACAACTATGACATTCAATTATTGTATTTTAACATGTTGCACATGGATGATTACATTGATCACACATAAAGGTTGATAAATTCATGATAAAACCACTGTTACAATTACAAGTGGAAGGTATCTAATTCACTGAATCAACACAAGTCTAACAAGTAGTTTAATTAGTAATGCAGTTTGCACAAGGCTTAGTACAAGGTATACAAGTATGACCAGATAATACATATCCATTCACACAGCTATCACATATAGTTGCTGAACTACAATTAAGACAAGGAGAAACACAGTTGTTACACATATAAGTTATTGTATCTAAGTATTTATTAGGTTAAGTGCAATCGCAACTTGGAATTGCTTAATTAGATGGATCAATGCACACTGTACAATTTGAAGGGGAGGTTGTGCATTAAGCACATGGTTTTGAACATGTTACACAGGTTGATCCTGAAATATAGTAGCCAGCAACACAACCAGTACAATTACTATTAGTGGTTATGCATAATGAGCATGGGCTTTAGCATGCTGGACAATTTGTTCCAGATAAATAATATCCATCGTTACAGCCTGTACATTGTGTACTGGATGAAGTGCAAGTTTTACATACAGATGAACAGCTTGGACATTGACCAAATCCAGATGATACATAATAGTATCCAGGCTTGCAAGAATTACATTGTGTAGCTATACTACAAGTGGCACACTAACTCATACACGGTAAACAAGGACTTATTCCCCAAGTCCCAGCAGGGCACCCAAAACCACCTTTGATTATAATACATTTACTTACCCTGAAAAATAGAAGATACTGTAAGCAGAATTAATAGCGTATTCTAATTCATTAATGTTAGAGTTTTAGAAATTCTTATAATAATTATATATAAATAAAAATAATAAGTTTAAATTAAATTGAATTATTTCTAAAAAAAGAATTAATTTTATTAACTTAGCAATTCTGGCTTAGGGGTTTATTTGTAATTTTCATTGAAATCAATAAAAATCAAGTTATGTAATTTTAAATTTTAAGTATATCAATATTTTTATTTAAAAAATAAAATGATAAAAAGAAAAGAGTTTATGTATTTTTCATAAAATTATATAAATTTAAAATTTATTAATAAACAAAACCTATAAAAATTTAAGGTTTTAAACTATTTGTAAAGTTTAATCTAAAATATTCATTTTATTTAATTAAATTTATTCAGTTTTTTTTAATAGTATATTAAATAAAATGGATCTAAATATTAAAACTCTCTTTTCTTCCATATTTAGATCATTATATATCAATAATAATTTCATAATTGTCCTCAAACTAAAATGATGATTATTAAAATAAAAATTAATTCATATTAACATTTTTCTAAAAGTTTGAATTTAAAGTTTTTTTAATTTTTTAAGCATTTAATTCAAATTTTTATTTAAGAAAGATGAGAATTATATATAGCATGTAATCAATTAATTAACCATTTGGATAGACTTAAAGAAGAGAAATACCTGAGAAAAGTAGGTATGAAATATTCTTTGAATAAATAATAAAGATTTAAAAAACAGTATTAATATTAAAATCTATAAGATAACATATGGATCTCTCTTACAAAATAGTAATTTGAAAATCATGACAATTTTATATTGTCATTGTAGATATTTAATAAAAAAATATTTAAATATGTATTCTGTAGTTTTAGCCTCGTATATTTAGGTTATCTTATAACTTATAGCATCTTATAAATTATGATTTATAAATAGTATTATTAAAATGAAAAATTAATAATTTTTTCTTTTTAGTAGTTAAACTCATTTTAAACGGTTAATATTACTAATGAACACGAAAATTTATTTAAGTTGTCAAGATTTTTGCTGAATAAATAACTGATAATAAGTATAACAATTTTCAATTAATAAAGTATTAAGAAGTCCTAAAAAATATATGTATTAAATAAAATTTTATATAATTTAACAAAAAATAATAAATGTTATAATTGGTACCTCATTATCATGTGGAAATGATGAAAAATAATCTAAAATAATATCAATTAAAATTATATGATGCAATAGAAGGATAATAATTTGAAATTGCGCTGCTAATTTTGGATTAACTAAATTCAAGATCAGCTTGGATTAGTGGAATTTATTTTATAATGAATGTATATGAATTGGATAATAATATCATAAATAAGTTCTTGAAAATAGTATAAGAATCAGATGAACTTGAGATAACAGAATATGAGTAGTCAGCATTAACATAGATTTGTCAATAATTTATGAATGTTGAAATGATCATACTTTTATATAAGTATAATTTGAATGGTTGGATTTAATTATCTCCAAAGATTCATCTTTATTTAAGGAATTCTGTCCACCCATCAGTACCTCATATATTTATTAACTACTATATTAAAAAAAATATAGAATTATTAGAAAAACATGAATAATCTTTTAATGAAGACTTTATATGGACACTTAAAGATATCAGAACATTTTATTAATTGATGCCTACAAATATTACGCATCCATATTATTAACTAATTCAAATTTCTATTTACGTAAGAATGCTCAATTTAGAAAATGTTCCATGTCCAATATCTCCATAAACAATTCCTATTAAATATTCAACAAAATTAGAAGAGATTCTCAAGAAATTATTACTTTCTTAGCATAAAGATTGTTTAGAATTATATGTATTTTGTTTGATTGAAATTGGTTTATTGAGAATTGTTATAACAAATATTAAATTTAATTTAACTTAAGAATAGCTAACATAAATAAGAAAATAGTTTATCAATACAGCAATAAAATAAGATTATATTGTAGATGTTGAAGTCTTCAAAATTTTAGATGGTATTTAATCTTTTAATCATGAAATGAAATTGGAAATATATAGAAAAAACCCTTAATTTTATGAAAATATTGAGTCNGTAGTTAAACTCATTTTAAACGGTTAATATTACTAATGAACACGAAAATTTATTTAAGTTGTCAAGATTTTTGCTGAATAAATAACTGATAATAAGTATAACAATTTTCAATTAATAAAGTATTAAGAAGTCCTAAAAAATATATGTATTAAATAAAATTTTATATAATTTAACAAAAAATAATAAATGTTATAATTGGTACCTCATTATCATGTGGAAATGATGAAAAATAATCTAAAATAATATCAATTAAAATTATATGATGCAATAGAAGGATAATAATTTGAAATTGCGCTGCTAATTTTGGATTAACTAAATTCAAGATCAGCTTGGATTAGTGGAATTTATTTTATAATGAATGTATATGAATTGGATAATAATATCATAAATAAGTTCTTGAAAATAGTATAAGAATCAGATGAACTTGAGATAACAGAATATGAGTAGTCAGCATTAACATAGATTTGTCAATAATTTATGAATGTTGAAATGATCATACTTTTATATAAGTATAATTTGAATGGTTGGATTTAATTATCTCCAAAGATTCATCTTTATTTAAGGAATTCTGTCCACCCATCAGTACCTCATATATTTATTAACTACTATATTAAAAAAAATATAGAATTATTAGAAAAACATGAATAATCTTTTAATGAAGACTTTATATGGACACTTAAAGATATCAGAACATTTTATTAATTGATGCCTACAAATATTACGCATCCATATTATTAACTAATTCAAATTTCTATTTACGTAAGAATGCTCAATTTAGAAAATGTTCCATGTCCAATATCTCCATAAACAATTCCTATTAAATATTCAACAAAATTAGAAGAGATTCTCAAGAAATTATTACTTTCTTAGCATAAAGATTGTTTAGAATTATATGTATTTTGTTTGATTGAAATTGGTTTATTGAGAATTGTTATAACAAATATTAAATTTAATTTAACTTAAGAATAGCTAACATAAATAAGAAAATAGTTTATCAATACAGCAATAAAATAAGATTATATTGTAGATGTTGAAGTCTTCAAAATTTTAGATGGTATTTAATCTTTTAATCATGAAATGAAATTGGAAATATATAGAAAAAACCCTTAATTTTATGAAAATATTGAGTCTTTGAATATTTTTGATGATATATCTATAATAAATGGGTTAATGCATAATTTCTCCTTTTTAGTGAATTAACAAGTATGAATCAATATCTTTAATTTAGAAAGTTATTTAATAATTAGCATAATTTAATTCATTATATTCACTAAAGGCTATATGGATATTACATATTGATGGAGCAATTCCTCACTTAACAAACAATCCTATATAACAATTTAAATTAAAAAACTTCAAATATCTTAATGTATTTAATCAAATTAAATATTAATAAAATTATGACCATCTAATGGAAGCCTTAAAAGTAACTGCAATATGTATTTGGACTGATAAAAAAATAAAATAAGAGGAATTAGAAAATAAATTATTGTTATCATATATTAAATAATGTATAACACAAGAGAATTGTTATAACATTTTCAAACTATTGTTTAGTATTTCTAATGGAGTTTTTGAAGAAAATTATGATATTTAGTAAATATCAATTCAAGTACCTTATTTCTTAGAATTATTGATAATTTTGTTATTTGAATAAAACGTTGATGTTACTTAGAAATAATTTTATTTATAATAATTATTATTGTTGACATAAAATCTTGAAAATGTATTATAAATTATGAAGTGTTAATTAATAGAAAGACTCATTTTCTTTTTAAGGATTGAAAGTGTATGTTAAGAATAAATAATCGAAATATTAATAAATTGTATTAAAGTGAGATTTTCATTATAATATTTATAAGCAATTGCTTAATTTATGTCACCATATTAATCTTTGATTATGATACCTCATATAGAAGAAAAATAAAAGTTAATTTAATATAGAAAGATTGCTTCTATCTTAGGGGTTCCTCCTTAATCTATAGAATGTGGGTCATTTTAATAATAAATGTACTTTCAAGCTCAAATTCTTAACAAAGATCTTTTCTTAAAAAATTCTACTCTCCTACTATATTGTTTAAACAAGGTTATCTCTATTTAAAATGATTAATATTATTATTTTACTGGACATTAGAGTGGCATTTTGGTAAAAGGAAAGATGCAATTTGAAACTCAAAATAATATTTTCTCTATTATCATCTAATTTAAAGGTTAATTAAAATAATCAACTCTCATAAATTGGGGAAATTAAGACATAAGCTTTTCAGTAGCTATTGAAGATCATTAATTGCTCAGTATTAGATACAAATAACAAGATATATTAAAAACAGCAAAGTACGCTTTGAAATATTAAGAGAATTTTATTGTCATAAATTTCAATTAGAATAAAGCATTTTAAGTAAATATCAATGGTAATGATGTTTTTGCAAAACAGGCAGATTAATTTGATAATTTTTAAATTCCTGTTTTAAATTTCTTTGCTGTTGGTGCAAAACTGACTGATGATGAATCCTTAAGTGATTCTTTCAGAGGAGAAATGAGACTTCTTTATATTTTAGATTAAAATATTAATGCAGAAGATATGTACATTTTAGAAAAGAAATCTTAGAATAACTCGATTTTATTTTCATAATTACTTAGAATGTAAATCAAAGGTAGGATTTTGTTATATTTAAATAATTAATCTTAGAAGCAAGACATATAATTTGATGGATTGTTACATTAGAATAATTAAATCTTTATTGAGAATTGTTAATATTTGATGTTTAGAGGAAGAAGATAAAAATAAACTACAATATCAAAATTTATGGGAAAATTGTTTTAATAAAAGAAAAATTAAAATTAATTGGATGTTTCCAATTAAAATTCAAAAAATGTATTATTCTTAGAGAATACTACTTTACTAGATGTTATGAAATCTTATGGAA